TCAGATTAATATTAAATTTTGTTTAATGTATACTCCATTAATCAGATCACCATGTCCCTTACTAATTAATCAATGTGAATGAGTACTCTGATTATCTTATCTCTTTACATACATATATTATTTAATTTTTCATGTATGCAAAATTTCGAATTTAGCTACAGAAATTAAGGAAGGATCGATCTCACTGAATTACATGATTTCTTCTTGGCTTGGCTGTCTCTAATGTAATCATTAATTAATTAATTAATTAATTATGGTCTGAAAGCAACTGGAGTGGTTGTGACGGCACGGCACGGCACGTCAAATTGTCACGGGAATCGGAACACATGAAAATTATATTAGTATTTTATTTGTGAGCAGAAGGAGAGAGCAATTCGAAATTAATAAGATTTATAATTTTGTATTTCCTGATGCATGGCTGATGCAAGGCTTACTAAAACAGGGTTGACTTAAGGTACAAATAGTTAATTAAGTTTATAATATTAAGATTTGAAGCCATAATGACTTGATTGATGACAGGTCATCATCATCTAATTTTCAAGGCCTTTCAATTTTTGGGTACGACCCGACCCTTTTTCGTTTGAGTGTTAGAGTGTGTTTAGAGTGAGAGAGCATGAAAAGGAAGGGATCTTCCCATTTTCAACATGGGGGTTGGCATTCCAGAAACTCTAAAGAAAAAAGAAAGAGAAAAGTCAAATATGTTAAACCACATGTTCTCTCTCATTAGACTTTTGCATTTTTTGCGGCTAATCTCGAGTTCACACGTGGTCCATGCTCATTGGGCTTTAGGAAATTATGATGGGCTTGAAAATTGAAGTGTGACAATTGGGAAAGTAGAAATTGTTCTTTTGGGTTGTGATTAATTTGTTCATGCTTGGTTTGGTTGGACTTCCCATAAGGTTAGTGGCCACAACCACACCACCAAAGTGGTGGAGGAGGCTAGGAATGTGGATTTTCCCTAGGAAAAAAATATATATATATATATACCAAAGTTCCAAAAAGAATATTCGATCTTAGGTTTCTTATGGGATAATAAGTTACATCAAATGAATCAACATAGCCTAAAAAAAAGTTATTTCAAACGGCGGTCCAATTTGATAAATGAGAAATTAGGCCACATATTTTAGGCATGGACCAATTTAGCTTGGTTTCTCAAAATATGTTTAGTTTTCTAATAATGGATCCAGATCTTCTGCTTGTTTTTTCTCTGCTAAGATCCACTAGTCTTTTAATTTAAGCATGCCACATCGTTTGAAAAATATCCAACGTCTAGAAAAGTTACAACATATTTATGTTTTAAAATGAAAAACCTATGTTCTTTTGGCTGAGGAGTTCCAACTCAAATCAGGATTTTTCTTCACCATCCAGCCTCTTGAGTTCAAAAACCTAAACAATTATGGTGACAAGATATGGAACTAGGCTTAATCTTATATTATGTCTATGAGTATGAAATATATAGAAACTAATAACTTGGTTGGGAAGTAGGCCCAACTTTCTGAATTTGGGCTTGAGAAACCTAAAGTGATTGTTGTGGCATAGGGCAGGGTTGGCTGCACTGGAGCCCACCTGAACTCTATAGTGAGGGTCTTATTATGGCCCTTAATGAGGCCCTATTTCTTAACCGTTGGATCAAATTGGTTAGTTTGATCTAACGGTTAAAAGATAGGACCTCATCTATGGCACTCTCACCGTAGAACGACTCCTGATTCCTGATGAAGGAAAAAGCAAACTCATTTACTTTAAGCCAAAATTTCCCAACTAGATAAAAGCATAAAATTTGAATTTGATAAATATATATATGGCAGCCCAAAGCCAACATATCCTTTTCATTTGCGCATTTATATATTTTATTGTAGATTTGTGGATGCTAAAATTATACATCCGTGGTCATGACTGATTTGTATGTATGTATCAAGATTATTAATTGTATGTAGGCTAGCTCAACCGGCATCTCCAACTTTTCCTGTCAATTTTGAGGCCAAGTAAAGTGATTATGCCACTTCCATATTCTAGTGGCCCATTATTATTCTGATGATTTAATTTGTATACGGCAGGTACCTCTTAATTATGGAAAATAAAGAACATTGATCTCGTTTAAATGGGTGATTGATTGGTAATTTGGTCCAATACATGCATGAATCACGGAAGGCAGCCTACCACTACCCCTTAAAACGATCCATGGTTTCAATTTGACAAATTCGGCCTCATGCTGCAAAGGCATTGATACTTTTCAATTTGAAGTCCTCCCCGTAATTCACAATTCTCAGCATGCCATTATGAAAACCCCACTTTTTCTTTGGATTTTTTCTGTTCACATTTGTATTGGAAAAACAATATCTTTTGGGAGCTTTGCTGTCTCTTTGTGTGGATAATATGTCTCCAAAGAGGACGGTGGTGGCTTGTAGTGGATTAATCCTCATCCCACTAAAATTGTTTAACATTATAAACATGACATGACGCAAATAATCATCCGAACAATAACATTACGGACACCAACTTGTTTACAAAAATGAATATATAGCAATGATTAGCTTTAGACTTGGAGCAGTTATGAAAATCCAATTAGGAATAATTATAATAATAATGGAAGTGTTTGATAAGATTTGAGGTGGGCAAAGCAGAGCAAGGATTTATGCTTGGTGAGTCACGATGATAAATAAGTATACAAGGAAGGAAGGAGATAATGGTTTAAAAACAGACACCGCCAGAAAACCACAAGGAAAGTCTTCCGTATACAAAGTTATATGAAAAAAGGGTGAGCGAAAGAAAGACCTAGTCAGTCAGTCAGAATTTCCATTCCAAGTTGCAAACAATACTTGGTCCAATAATCCACTTTATGTAGGACCTCAGTAGTTATTTCAGACTTCACTGAAACTACTTGCGGGTTGACTCAACAACCACTTGTTCATCACTTCTCTCGTTGCTCCAATGTTACTTAGGAGGATCTTCAATCTTTTTACACTAAAAAACACAAACAATTTCCTCAATCTATTGTCAAGACTGACCCAACAAGTATGTGCCTTTGACAATTTGATTTCTTGAATGAGAGAAAAAGGTAATATAGTAACGTGTTTTATTAATATGAATGGACGACATAGTTTAATTTTCTCTTATTAAGGAATAGTATTAATAAATATCTACTTATATTATAACATGCGTATAAGATTTGCCGCATGAGCGTACTACTGTAGTATTCTGTAATCACCTCCATATCAATACTTAGGGGGGTGTATTCAATTGAGATTTTAAAAGACTATTTAGGGATAAAAAAGTCTTGCGGATTTAAGCAGAATATAATTACTTTTAGGATTTTTTTAATGGATTTATACAATCAAGATTTTTTACTTATGATTTTAAAGATTTCTATTACAAGATTTATAAGATTTGAAAGGACCACATAAATTTCTTCTGGGATCGACATAATATTTATTTAGAAAAAATAAACCCTTAAAAATGAAATGCAATATTGTTTCTATCTCTTCACCATCCCGACACCCACAAAGCTAACCTTCACTCTCGGCAGCATACCCTCCCACAGCCACCACACACACTCTCATTTGTGTATTGTGGTATGTGGAGTTGCATTCCACTTTTGTATGGATTTTTCAAGTAAACTATTTATCAGTACATCACATCGATCAATGCCAACAATTTCAATGCTTTTGGTTCTCACCTCTGTTAAAATCATTTATTTGTATCAAAATCTATTTTTGTTGTTGATAAAAGATGAAATTTCATTGAAACTCAAGTAGGGGTACAATCTTGAAACAAAATATCATTGAAACTCAATTGCATCCCAGCTAAGAGAGCCAGCGCCTGGATTTGCTCAGGACACCTAGCCTTCTTAACTGGCCGCACACAAGCTGCAATGAAGGTTCCCCACTCATCCCGTACCACCACTCCTAGACCTCCATTACGATCCTCAGCTTTCCAAGCGCCACCCACATTAATCTTAACAAAGTCATCTCTTGGAGCTACCCATCTTTTTGGAGCTGAGCGTGGGATATTGGAGACCAAGTCATCCCTTATTTGCTGATATTCAGCCAACCAAGCCTTTGCTTGCATCACCATCGCATTTGGGTCCACACCACCACCATCCCAAATACACGAGTTGCATTTGAATGCCAAGCTCTTCCACAACAAGTATTCTATTAACAACTTTCTAGTAACTAATCTAAACAAAAGCTACACCCTTTGGGTGTTTGTGTCGAACAGATGGTGGGCAATTTTTGCCCAGCCATCCAGCTTTGTCATATAGATGTGTGAAGGCCCACATGTTAGAAGCTTATACCCCAACAGCTGGTAGCTCATGTTTGGAAGGTGGTTTGGTCTTCATGCGAGGGAAGGTGAGGAAAGAACATTTTTTTTATACCCAGTGGTCGTTAGTGGTGGTTTGGTTGCCATGGTTTATAACCAGTGCCCAACCGTTTGGGTGGAGGTCAAGGTGAGGAAATAATTTTTTTTTTTTTAAATCTCACGTGAAAAGTCTGATGGGTTAGGATGGGATTTGAGATAGTGCTTGGTATTTATACCTCATACTAAAAAATCTCACACAATCTCACATTATAAAAAATCCTTTGAAATTAGCACAGTTTTGAATACCATAAGACTTTTTGTTACTTATTTAAAGTCTTGATTGAATACCGCTAGATTTCGACACCCTCATTTAAAAATCCTAATAATCTTAATGGAATACCACAAGACTTGTTTAGATTATTTAAAAGTCTTAAGTGAATACCACATGACTTAATCATCTCAAAATAATCTTTTAAAATCCCAATTGAATACACCCCCCTTAAGTTGCAAGAAACATCTATTTAAGGAAAGCTGGTAACTCTCTTCCAATCTTTTGGTAACAAATTTTAAATGCAATCCTAATCTTCATTGTCAATTCAAATTAAGGTGAGAACATAAGCTAAAAAGGAATTTCCAAATACGATGCATGAATTTAGGGTTTAGGAATTTCATGACAATATAAATGTTTTCATGAATCATTTCTCTCTCTTTTATAGTTGTACATTACCAAACTTAAAAACTAGGGCAAGTCGACCTGAAATTCACCGGTCCACCCCCAACTCTCTCTCCATCCAAAAAAATAGAATATAAAAAAAGCTACCGGTCACCTAAACTCACACTTCACCTATATATATATAATACATACACACCACCCCTACTTGAGCACTTAACCAATAAACACCGCAAAAATATCCCACCCCGCCATTTTCCGCTTTCCTCAAAACACAAAAACGACGAAACATGGACCGTCGTCTCCGTACAGGCACGGAATATCCCAGCTCGGACTGTCCGGCGCGCCTGAAACCCAAAGACCGGATGATCGCCTCCGTCTCGTCTCTGGTCGACATAGCCAGCCGCCTCTCCAAGAAGCTCAAGGCTAAGCCGAGGAGCGCTAATAACTCGAAAATCGCCCCCAAGTCATCGCCGATGAGGAAGCCGAAGCAGCTGATGTCGACCATAAGCAACAAGGCGATCACGTTCCTGCACAGGAAAAAGATTGGCGAGGAATCGGCGGGCGCCCACCACGAGGATAAGGAGGAAGAGTGGGGGGACGGCGGGGTCTGGCAGAGGTCGATCCTGATGGGGGACAAGTGCGAGCCGTTGGATTTCTCGGGCGCGATTTATTACGATAGTCACGGAAACCAGCTGAACGGAGCACCTCTCCGGTCCCCACGTGCGAGTCCCTTGCCTGGGTACCTCGAGAGGGCCGCTCATAAGAGAAACTGAAGAAGTCGCCGTTGAAATTTCAAATATATCATCGGAGAAGAATGAAAATTAAACAGAATGTTTCATGTTAATCTTCTCTGATTAATTGTTATGTTAATTAGTCTCTCGTTTTGTAGTTTCTTGGTAATTTCACAATACTGTTGTGTTGTGACGTGTCAGACATGTGGTTTTATTGGCGGGCGGGGGCTTGTTGTATGGTGTTTAGGGGCCACAGTTGACGTACAACGTCGTCGCCGTCGGATTTTGGTAGTTGAACTTCCCCTGTATGAACAGGGACTGGGATGCTGTGTACATATATTGGAGGAGACATTTGGATTTTGGCACCATTTTAAATTGTGGGTGACTAGTTTTAATAAAATATATGGCGTTGTGGGTTTTTTTAGTGTTCATTACCAAATTGAGTAATACCATGATGTTTTTTGTGTGGTTGGATTCTAAACCAACAAATTGAGTAATACCATAATGTTTTTTTGTTACCAAATAAGCTGATATGTTTCAATAGCGTATATGCTTTACATGGTTATATTTATATCGTTAAATTCTATGTGAAGCATATATGCTATTGAAAATGTATCGATAACATGCTGATTAATATGGAGATATATCTACTGCCCGTTATTTAATAATAAACAAATTTCTATAACCACACAAAAAGAACCACTCTAATAAGCTTCGGAATCCATTCACATTGCATATGCCCCATTGTGATCCACTATACACTTGATGGGTCTCAAAATTGTGTGATGATCGTGTTTGAATATTTTATTATTACTAGTTTTGGGTTTGAGTTGAAATTTGAAACGGACATCATATTCCATATCCATGGTACTCTCTTCTTCTGTTGTCATTATCTTTAACGAAAGGCCAAGGTGGAGAGAGAACGGGGGGAACAAATCCCTCTCATGTCCTGTCATTTATAAAGCTGCTGCCATAGAAATATTTAACCAGTGCTTGCATTCGTATAGACTAAATTCAACTTGTATATTATTTTCAAATCGCAATGCATTATATTAATGAATTGATTCTCGCTTAGACTTGAGACTTTTATTTTTGGTATTTAATGAGAAACTCCCAAAAGGAAATGAGGGAGGGGAGTATGCATCAACGACTAAGTCCTCGTGTTTGACTCTCCTAGGGTCAACTCTGAGCAACTTTTGAGGGGAACATCAGTTTTCTTTCTTTCTTTTTTGTTTGAGAAAGAGAACATCAGCTATTTGTAAAAACATTGTCTCAGAAGATTTGTATTCAAACTCAAACTTCTTCGGTGAGAAGATTTGTATTCAAACTTAGGTACAAAGAACGGACTGCTATTTTTTATGCCCGGACCCGGACCATGAGACACGTCGTTGATTTGTTACACTACGAAATTAAGTAACTACCAAACATAATACTTGACATTTATTGTGGTCAACCAGATCAAATTTTATTTATATATATTTTTTAATTCTTCTTGTTTCGAATTTTCCGGTTCAAATAATTTTTAAAAAAACTCAAGAAAACATAAAAGAGAAAAAAGGGTTCAAATTTAAAGAGTTAAGTAATCCATGAACAAGATTGCACCACGAAAACCCATAACAGAAACAATCAACAGCAGCCCAGCCCAGACCATCTACCGAACTCAATAAAGCCTTTAAAATCCGAGCCCAAAAAGATTTATATATATATATATATAAAAAGAGAAACAAACCAAATACCAGACGTGACACGTAAGGAAAAAAACCCGGGTCCAACATATCTGCAGGCTCAACAATAAACCGGACCGGTGCCAAAAACAAAACGTAACAAAAAAAACATTAAAATTTCACAGCTTGATCGAACGGTCGTTAAGCTCCAGGAGCAGCATCCTTTACCTTACTATGCAAATACCCACCGTACTCTCGAGCATAATCCTTCACATGGCTCGCCGTGTCGTAAATCCGGCTCCTCGCGTAGTCGACCCGGTCCGAACCGGGCGGGTGCATTCCCTTGAAGTACCTGTACATCCAAGATGAACCGGCCACCGCCGCCGCTCCGAAGCCGCACATGGAGACGAACCCGGCGACGGTCAGGAAGAGGAGGGCGCCGATTGGGACCCATATGGGGCTGGAGATAATGATTAGAGGCGTGAACAAGATCAGGCCCATAATTGTGGCGGTGAAGGTGAGGCCGGTGAGGAGGAGGAGAATGGCGCCGGAGACGAGGAGCGTCAAGAAACCGACGAGCTGGGTTGAGTTCGGGGCATGTCCTTGGAGTCTACGTAGGAATGTGGAAGCATTTGTAGAGGCCAGGTTGTTGGTGTTGGTGGGTCTTGGGACTCTCTGCGGTTGCTGCTGCTGGGTTTGGGTTTGGTTTTGGTGACGGTCCGCCATGGATGATCGAGAGAGAAGTGAAGCTAGTGAGAGAGAGGTGCGGGATATTAAGAAAGAGGTGATGGGGTTTCAAGGGACAGGTGTGGGGAGGATTTGAGGTTGGAGACATGCAGGGGGACACGTGGAGGGAGACAAGTTTGGTGTGTCCTAGATGAGTGTTGGAGACTACTTGACCTTTTCTATGTATTAGAATTCGGTGGGGTATTCTTGTGTGGTGCAGGTGCAGGTATACTGTCCAAATTTTTATGTGTATAATTAGACGGTGTTTAGGTTGATGATCTAGATGATTGAGATAATTAAGATATACTTAATGGCTTAATCTTGGTGAGCTGAATTAATAGCATGAATGGAGGAGGTGGCCTAGCTAGCTGTATGATATGTACGACAGGCAACTAAGATGAAGAGGAGCAAAAATAATGCAGCAACAAAACCCACAACATTATTTGTATCCACCTTGTTCTCCTTCTCAGCAACAAAATCCACACAAGGTAGAGGCATGCTCTTTTTGTTCAACCCTACTTCTGTGTCAGCAATTTCAGAATTGTTGTCTTTGGTCAATTTGGGATTTGTTGCAGGAACACTCACTTCTGGTGATGAAGCAGGGTCTTCTTCTTGTGTCTCCCCCTCAAATTCAATCTTGTTGTAATTTTGGGTTGAATTCATTAATACCCTCTGGTGGTCAAATGGCTTTGGCATAGAGTATTGATCTGTTGTTGATTTGACTGAATCACTAAATGAGACTCTTCTCCTCCCTCTAGATAAACTTGTTGGTGTCTTGGAGGATGGAGAAGAAGAACTGGTTCTACTGTCACCTTTGTTTCTCAGAATGGAAGTCTTCTTCACTGGAACCATTGATGTGGAAAACCTGCGAACCAGACCTTTCTTGCTCAGGGAGTTTCCTCCAGAAGACCTATCTGATAATGAAATGGCATCTGACTCATCCTTGCTTCTTCCCCACCTCTTAATTCTATGTATGAAACCAGATTTCTTGTTGATATTTCTTTGGCTACTTGAAGAGGAGCTGTCAATGGTGGTAGTCTCAATTTCATCGCTCAAACTAGTTGAAGATGTGTGAGAAGAAGGGCTATCGTAACTTGGATTTGATGATATCAATGGTTCATTTTTCTCATGAGATTTATGGCTTGAACTGTTGTGGATTTGGGTTTCAAATCTCAAGCAAGTGTAGAGCCAGCGCTGGTACACACGTTCTTGGACCATTTCAAATTTGTTTTTCTGCAGCCTTTCAAATTGCCTTGAGAGGTCCTCATTGGTATGCCTCAACCTGCTTATTTCTTCTTCAACCTTGGCAACGGTTTCACTCTGCAAGAAAAACATATGGTGTGTGTTACAAATTTTTAGCTAGTGTTTCAAGTAAAGAAGCCCTCTGTTTCAATAAATTTGTTAAGCCTAAACTATTAAAGAATTTATATCTACCTCAGTCATGCTGGACAGGGTACTTATTCTGGCTTGAGCAGAGACCAACTTGACTGCCAGTTCCCTCTTTTCTAGCTCAAGCTCTTTGTTTCTCCTCTTCATCTTTAAAACTTCCAACTCAACATTTTTAACAGCTTTGAGCTTCTTCTCAGCTATGGCATCTCTGACTGAGATTTCATCCTTGGGAAAGCTGGAAACTTGTTCTTCCATCACCAACAGCCTTCCCTTCATAATGCTGCTCTCATTAGAATCCATCTTCTTCTGCATTTCTGCTATCATCTTCTTTGCCATCTCTAGCTGCTTCTTTGCCAAAAGACACTGCTTGGCATCTTCCTGAAGAGCCTTCCTCTCAGCCTGCAAAGAAGCAATGGTGACATTAAGCATGCCAATCTCTGCAGACTTGTCCTCCATATGCCTTTGCAAGTGAGCCATGTACGATTGCTCTTCTTTCAGAACACATAATTCTAGCAGTTTATTTTCAAGCCTCACTTTCCTCTGCTGCAGCTCCTTTACCAAGAGCTCTATTTCACTCAGACTGTTCATTTGTTTGCTTCTAAATATTTCAGCCGCCTCCTCATCTTCCACCTCTCCTTCGTTCTGTTGCTGTTGGAAGTTTGAGCCATCATTCTCTGAAGTACAAGAAAGCACCATCAATTACCACATGAATTAACATACAAGAAAACTGGGAAACACTAAACAAATTTGATAAAGTCACTTCCTTTAAGACAGAAACAAGGCCAAAACAATATGAAAACAGCAAAAAGAGTGCAGCTTTTTTCCTTTTGCTGCAACAAAATGACAAAGAATGAAGTACCTGGAGGCTTGATGGCGGCAGAGTCCAGTTGCTTCCTGGTGGAGTTGCTGTTTTTGTGTGAAACTGCATATGCTGCAATTGAAGCCACAGCCAGAAAGCTTATTTTGATTATCATGTAGGCCTCACAGGAGTTTCAGGAACTCTGAAATTCAGTGTGTTATTTCACCATCAAAATATGTGAAGATACAAAGCTTGTAGTGGTTCATCTTATCCGAGACAATGGCATTTAACATGTTTTCATTTCTCTGAGATTTTTTTCTTCCCCTTTTTTCTTGGTGGGAATGAGGACAGAGTGTGTGAAGAAGACCAAGCCGGCTATTTGCACAAATGATGAGAATATATATGAACGCAAATGAATTGGTTGGTCCCATTTGGTTTAGCAGGTAGCAGAAGAGTTGATGAGATCAAAATAGAGGGAGCACAAGACAAGTAGGATATTTTTGCTAGTCCCATCCCTTCCCATCCCATGGATTGGGAGGAAGCCATCACTCAAAAAGGTCATTAGCATTCGTACGGGGTCCATACATAATTAGGAACACCTTTTCATATAAATTTTTTTATTTTATAATTTCTTTAAAATTTAAAATACTTTATTGAGATTTTCATTGATAATTCGACATTTTTCTTTTGATATATCCTTCAAAATTAATAATACAAAAATTACGTAAGCTAAAAAAATAAAAAATAAAAACTTAAAAACGAAAAAGAAAAACAGCGGAATAAGGAATAGCATTCTCCCTCTTTTAATCGGAAACTTGTCAAAACCCAAAAGCTTTAAACTTGATCAATACGACACCCTAATTTCCGTTAGTAAAACCCTCCACGGCATCCACTCCTTCACCACTAACAAGTTAACAACAGTTCCTTCTCTTTCTTTCCACCGGAAAATCAATACCCTAGCGACTGATTCTCGCGCTCCATGGATGCGCGTCGCGCCTCACGAACCGTGATCGACCCCAAGGTCCGCCAAGTCGGCTTCTTCACCCCTAACGCCGAAACCGCACCCAGTCGGACCCTGTCCGGTCCGGTAATCACGAGCTCACCTCCTCTCTCCGAATCTCCGGCGAGCAACTCCCTCTATCCCGTCATGATCCCTCCGTCGCGTCACCTTTCCGATACCGTCGCGATCCGTACGGCCGCCTTGCCGGTGCCAGAATCGGCGTCACGGCGCAAGGAAGCCGGGGAGCGCGTGCCGGTGGGCAGCTACAACCCCTCGGAGTCGATGTTAGGTACCTCGCCTTCTAGTCGGGTTGGAGATGCGTCACTCGAGTTCTCGGACGAGTCATCGGTCCGATGGTATCGGCGGAGCGACTCCGGAAAGTTGGCTTCGAGTTTTCCCGGCGAAGGATTCGACTCGGCCACAGTGAAAGCTCCTCTTGAAGTTCCTGGTAATTGATTGCTTATGGTCACTGAATTTCTACTTGCTTCGTGCTTGTGTGAATTGCATTCGGAAATTGAATTATTGAATTTAAGTAACTGCATTGGTGTATGATTTGTTGCTGCGTTTGTATAAGTTAATTAAAGATTGCAAATTCGCAATGCAAATTGGCTTAGGTAAGAGTATGTGCTAATTAGGTTGGCTATTTCTTGCAGAAAAGAGCGGAGAGGAGGTTTCAAAGGAGCAAAAGGAAGTTCCATCAAATTCAGAACCCTTGAAGTCCAAGACAACAACAAAAGCTGAAAGGCGTGCCTTGCAGGAGGCTCAACGCGCTGCAAAAGCTGCTGCTAAAGGTGATTTAGCTTCTATTGCCTTGTTAATGTGATTTAGCTGCTCAAAAATCAAATTCTTACAATCGATTTTTAAGAATGTATTTTGTGGCTTGTTTTCATTCGTATGTGTTACAAAGGAACTATTGAAGTACTTGTTAATTGCGTTGAGGCGTGTAAACATCATCTCATAAGTTTTAACTAAGATTAAGTTAGAACAAGCCTAACCATGTATTAACTATGAATTACTTTCTGTTTCTTTACCTTTTTAAATTTGGATTTTTCTCTGTGTGTTTGGAATTCCCCTTAATACGATCCATGTATGAACTGTTTTTATGTTTCCCATCCATTATAAATTACAGCTGAGGGGAAAAAACCTGCTGCTGTATCTCGGGGTGGGGCTCCTGGTAAACCTGCAAAGCAGTCTGTGCAAAAGAAGGATCCTCCTCCAGTTGCGTCTTCGGTGGCTGCTTCTGACAAGAAGGGGGGCGATCGACCACCAGAGAAAGAAAGGAAGAAAGATGTTCCTCCTCCACGTATGCAGTTTGATGATAAGAACCGAGTGGATAAGGCAAAAAGGCGTGCAGTGGTCAATCAGACTGAAGCTAAAAACAGAGTTGAATTGTTCCGGCATTTGCCTCAATATGAACATGGAACTCAACTTCCTGATCTTGAGTCAAAGTTTTTCCAACTTGATCCTATGCATCCTGCCATTTATAAGGTATTTATTTTAGGAAACTAGTTATTGTTAGTTCATCATTTTTGGTCTGTCTTGTAAATCATCATCCACATGGCTGATAATGTATATATAAATGTGGACATTTGTCAGGTTGGACTGCAGTATTTGGCTGGAGAAATATCTGGGGGTAATGCTCGTTGTATCGCAATGCTTCAAGCGTTTCAGGAAGCCATTAGAGACTACACCACACCTCCAGAGAAAACCCTTGTCAGAGATTTAACAGCAAAAATTAGTAGTTATGTCTCATTTTTCATTGAATGCAGGCCACTTTCGATTAGCATGGGAAATGCAATCAGGTTTCTGAAGAGTCGTATTGCCAAATTGCCCTTGACTCTATCTGAATCTGAAGCGAAATCTACACTTTGTTCAGAAATTGACCGTTTTATAAATGAGAAGATAATACTTGCGGATAAGGTGATAGTTAGGCATGCTGCTACGAAGGTCAGGGACGGGGATGTTCTTCTCACATATGGATCATCGTGTGTTGTTGAGATGATTCTGCTATATGCCCATGAACTCGGGAAACAGTTCCGTGTTGTGGTAGTAGACTCGCGTCCAAAGCTTGAAGGCCAAGCATTACTTCGTAGGCTGGTGGCAAAGGGTCTGAGTTGTACATATACTCATATAAATGCTGTGTCTTATATCATGCATGAAGTAACACGAGTGTTTTTGGGAGCTGCCTCGGTATTGTCTAATGGAACTGTATATTCGAGAGTAGGAACTGCTTGTGTTGCTATGGTTGCTCATGCATTTTGTGTTCCAGTCTTAATTTGCTGTGAAGCTTATAAGTTTCATGAAAGGGTACAGCTTGATTCAATTTGCTCTAACGAACTAGGTATGTTGGTTCTTGTATGTGCTCTGAGCTTGCGTATTCCTGTTGCTTGTTTTTGTACATATTTTTCCTCCTGAAAATGACTTATGTAGCATGTTCGTATTTCTTTCAGGTGACCCAGATGCTATTGCGAAGGTTTCTGGAAGAACTGATGTAAATTATCTGGATAATTGGGCTAATAAGGAAAATCTGCAACTTCTGAATTTAATGTAAGCTTTCATATGGTTCAATATAAAGAATGAAAACTTGTTAACACTGTCTATAGAATGATTCTTAATTCACTTCTTCATGTGTAACAGGTATGATGCTACTCCATCAGATTATATATCTATGATTGTCACAGATTACGGCATGGTAAGTAATTTTTGGCTTTTGCATTTATATTTCGTTTTTATTTTTACCTAGCTATAACTATGTTTTGGCCCAATTGTTGGCATATGATACAGCCGGTTATCTCTTTTTAGAAGTAATGGTTTTAGCCTATTATGTGTCAAATACGCACATAAAAGACAATTATCCATTGCTTTAGTTATTGTATTATGTGCCCAGATGCATGTATCTAGAATCACATATTTCAGTTGCATCTTGATTCTTGGGCAGTAAAGTTGTGCATAGTGTTCTTGATGTGTAAGAATTTTCTTGATTACTAGTTTTCACAGTTTTGTTTTTAATGTTACTGCAGATTCCACCCACAAGCGTGCCTGTCATTGTGCGCGAATATGGGAGAGAGCACTTATGGACATAGGAAACTTTAAAGCAGAGCGACGTTGGAGGAAGAAAAATAGTTACATGTTCTGTGGTAGGATTCATTTTACAGGCCGGTGGTTGTCATGCACGGGGGAATAAAACTTGATTTTTTTGTAAACATTTGATAAGGAGCTCCTGCGAAATGAAACATTAATTTTGGGGTTGAAAGACGCAGAGGTAGCTGGGTTTAAAATTTTGTTGGTAAATACGACTCAGTGAAGAGTGCATTGTATAGCCTCTCCTGACAGTTGTGGAGGTGGTTTCATGTATCACGTATGTTTTGGAATATCTTGTTGCATTTTTGACCTGAATTTTGTCGAGATAATTGAATTATAGTGTTATAGTTAAGGTGTCATGTTTTCAACGAATTATCTCTGTTTGGTCCTGCTGAGAAGATGCAAGATCTTAAATTGCTAAACTATAAAATATGAATTACAGAAAATGGGAAAGGTTAGGAGAGGAAGAAATGAGGGTAAAAAATGTTCGAATAAGTAAAATAAAACAAATTCATATGGGCGAAGACTAAATCTGCGACTCTGCAGAACCTGAAATCTACTCTTCCCAATCATCAGATGATATTTGATTGTCTCCATCTCTGGTTAGCATTATCACAATTTTCAACTGTACATCCGATCCGAATATGAAATTGTGGCCTAATTAATACGTACAACATAGCATTTCGAAATGCTTAAAATGTAATTTCCCCTCTTTTTAAGTGGGATTAGCAGTTGGCATGTCAATATATATATGACCTAGATCATCAGTGTTCCCTTCAGTATTTTTGTTTCTTCTCAGAGCCAGGAGTGGTATTATCAGCTGTAGCTGCAGTTGTTGCCAATTCCATCAACCGCTCAAAATCTATTTCAGTTGTCTTATACTTCAGTTTCATCCCACCTTGTAGCCATGACCTTATGCAAAGCAGAGCTTGCGTGCTATCATGCGGCATACAAAACCGCTGCTTGTAAATTTCATCACCTTTGCCACAGAACAGTTCTTCAGGTGCCACTGAAACTGCCTGCACTGCCAAGAAATCCCGAGCCATCAGAGAAAGCCGTGGGTAGCGCATACTATTGACCTTCCACCACTCCAGAACATCTGTTGCTATTGGAGCCGGAGGCTCCGACAGATATTGAGTGAGCTCATCAGTTGCGCTACTCATGTTTGCCCTTCTTTTCTTTCTTGCTATTTCCTCTGCAAAAGAGACATTGCATCCCTCTTCTAGTTCTTGAGCACTGTATCCACTAGTCATGGATGGGAAATGACTCGTCGAGTAATTTCTAATGAAATGAGTTCTCGCTTCGTCGAGAAAATTTTCTGCGTTGAGGCTCTCAGGAATTAGCTCTCCTTTGATTCGAGGATCAAGAACTGCGGTCATGTATATGATTATGTTGCAAACTTGGTTATTGTAACCTCTAACCTTTTCGGCCATTTCTTTAGCAGCATTTCTTAACAAGTCTGGGTAAAGGTGAGAATCTCTGCAAGCAGCAATTGTCTCAGAAATGTGATCCATGAAGAAAAGAACCAGCCCAACAGTGGGCAACTTGTTCGTGCACATGTTGTTTGTGGTTTTGTAGAATGGTTGTAGATATCGATGGACATTATTGACTGCATTCTTCTCTGCAGAGCTCAGCAGCATCCTACTGCCTAGCGTCTCATACTTCCTGATAACAGCATCCATAGACTTAGAAGCCTGCATTAAAAGAAAAGATAGAAACAATGTCACCTCAGCCACTTAATCACCGACTAAAGTGGAGAGAGAGGGAGAGAGAGAGAGAGAGAGAGAGAGAGAGAGAGAGAGTTAAGGATAACTACACAGCCCATGGTTCATTTAGAGATGTTGTCCAATATCATGTAATTTCTTCATAGCGTACCTTGCACACAATGTCTAGCATTTGATAATTGCCGCTCCACCGTGTTGATGTATCAAGCGGCATTTTCCATGTACTTTCCTGGTAAGCTGCTGTGAATTGAGTAAAATCCTCCGACATCTCTGAGGATGCATTTAACCCTATTGCAAACTCTCGAATCTTAGAGATCACCGGCTTTGTGGTTCTCAATCCATCATCTATGATCAAGTTCAAAACATGAGCAGAACAGGGGATATAACAGAAGGGCCCCACCTTCTGATCATCCAAGTAACCATGCATGGAACTTTGACTATTATCATGGGTGCATGATAGGACTCTATTCTCTATGTTGTACAGCCTAAGAACCTTCACTAGGGAATGATAGATCTCGGCACCACCACAAGGGTAAGGTATGTGACAGATATCAAGCATCATCTTTTGGAAAGACCAATTCTCGTCAATCCAATGGCATGTGACACTCATATAATAGATTTCCTCATATGAAGTCCAAAATTCAAGCGTTATAGAGACCTTCGAAGAAACATGTTCCAAAGATGCTCTTACCACTTCCTTCATACTCCTGAAAACTTCATGAAATGTTTTTCTGTACTCCTCGCTTGACCATAGTTGTATTGATGGATTTAAAAACTTATACGAGTTTGCTAGCCACTTTTCTTCCAATGTTGCTGGAGGTAGAGAAGCTAAGACTAGCCACTTAACAAGCAACCAATTTAAATGGTTGTAATCCACTTGTGGTGCTTTTGATTGAGGTTGATGTTTCCTGACTACAGTGATGGGTGGTGGTGCTGAACTGGTGACAACATCACCTGACTTATCATAACCGGGATGGCGATTACTTAGGTGCCTTCCCAGATTACCTTCAACAACAAAAGAAAGATTAGTAATATGATAAGCTTAACCCTACCATAAGCTATTGACAAATCCACTCCAATATCGGAATCGCACATTGAGAATGAATGAACCAATGAAAATCCCTACATGAAGAACTTGAGCTTCTTACAAATCTGATAATCATAGAATTGTAGCTTGATAGCATACGATCTAGACTCTCTGGACTATCACGACCCTAAAATTTTGAAGGCACAAAGAACAAAAGCAACTATTTTGCGGGCCCAAAGAAGTTACCAGTGGCAGTTGCAATAGAATAGCTTTGTCCACAAAACTTGCACCTGCGACTTTTTCCGTCAGCAGCTGTCTCGAAAAACTTGAGATAAACTGATGTCATAGTCTTCTTTCTTGGTTTCGCTGAAGGAGTAGCATTTCCCTGTTCTGAGGAGCTCAAACCAATATCTACAGAATCAATGGTTGGAATGAGCCCCATGTCCATCATAGATTTGGGTTCCACATCTAATCCACCAAGAAACAAAAGAAAACCATCAAAGATCATAGACATTAAAGTTTGAATGCAAAAGGGTCAAAAAGAAGTAAACTTTCACATATATAGACTATAGTAATTCATCATCCAATACAATTCAACACTATCATGACTTAGCAAACTAATAACAAAATATGAATCTAATTACAAGTTGTGAAAGTCAGCTCAGGGAGCATTTGAAGTACAAAAATTGCAAATTGGCAATTTGGTGGGATAAGTACCTTTGAAGGTTTTAAAAGCGTTACTTGCACCCCAGTCCATTTTATATGCTGCTTTGCTTCTCAGTACTGTTCCTGCCCAACAATCACCCAGTGGGTGCTATGTGAAGCTCGCATTTGGGGAGAAACCGAACCTGAAATTCAAAAAACCGATCAAATTTAGGGCTTTGGTTAGGGGTCAAAGATGTTCCCACAGTCCCTCACTCAGTGACTCGGTCACTTGCCTTGGCTCTGTGGTAGGAGAAAGACAGCAGCTTGAAACGAAGAGATTTTTAGTAGGAAGAAAGAGTGAGAAGAGGAGAGAAAGAGAGGGAAAAAGAAATGGAGGGAGATGATGGAAGTTGGAAGCGGATCGGCGCAAAGACTGAGCCGGATCGCAGCCGAGCGAGGAAAAGAGAGAGAGCGGAGAAAGAGGAGATCAGCTGGTTTTCTTTTTTTGTTATTTATTTTTTTCCTTGAGGAAAAATAAAAAAGATTTTTAATCTCTGAGCTTTTGCAGAGCCGCGAGCGACGCCTCTGAGCTCTGAGTCGTAGATCTAATCTCAATCTTCGACGGCTAAAAACTACGAAGTAAACGCTCGCTGGCGCAGGAGAGAGAGACACGCACACAAGCAAGCGAAGCGAAAGTATAGAGAGAGAGAGAGAGAGATTGATGGGGCTCGGCTGCTTCCTTGCTGGGCTAGTGGCGGCTAAGTTTAAGTGAGCCTCTGGTCAGTGGGCACGAGTTGTGAGCCCCAGGCCCAGCTATATATGCCTATAGCTTCGGTTTCTGGCTCCACCAAGCCCATTTTGCATTTTCAAATTTAACGTTCATTTTTCTTCTCTTTTTGCTATTATTGCAAAAAGCTTCTAGCTATCATTAAAAAAAAAAAAGGGCTTCTAGTTAAGAAATTTATTCAAGCATACATGGCCTTAATTAAGTTGGTTAAAGTGAATATGGTCCCCATTCTGCTCCCGAGTTCAAGTCTCCCTCCTCGTAGTTTAGACTATATTAAAGTAAAATATCTCTTGTATAAATTAAATTTTATTTATTTATTTATTTCTATACTTAAGGTTTAGTGTAATTTGCACATTCCCCCTAAGCTTAATTCCATTAACCAACTCCACTCATATTTAATAAACATTAAATTTAAACAAGTATTCAATCAAACAAGAGGGACAAAAAAAAAACCATTAACTTGAATAGTTGTTGGATTAAAAGAGAAATAATAATTAATTGAAGACGGGCGACTTGACTGTTGAGGACTTCCAAGGAAGAACCTTTTATCATGTTTGAAAAGTAGAGCAATGGCCACGAGCACCAATGGCAAGAGAGCTTGTGTTTCTCCTCTCCCTCTTTTCCAAAATAAAAAAAATGCTGCCAAATGGTGCATTGCTATTTATATCATGTTACTGAAATTAAAGTAGATTAACCAAATACTTAAATTTGGTGTTGTACTTTTAATTTAAAGAAAGTATTTGGTTTCACATGGATATCATGAGTGATGGGCTAGCCTGCATGCAGGTTGCTCATACGTTGCAAATGACAGAAGCTCTTGTTCTTAACTCGGGTTACTGTGTACAAAAAAAACAAAAACAAAAACCAGATTTTATAAAAATCATAAAAATTACTACATGATATCATATCAGTTCCTTCCAGTATTGGTTTTGTAATTTTTGTGTGTGTGGGTTATGTGAGAGTGAAAAAAAAAAGAAAAAAGGAAATTAACTGAGGCTGCAATGCCCCCAAGTGGCTCAATCTGCTGAACCTGCTACGCTATGCCTTTGAAATAAAAATTATAAACAGCTTTCAACAACCACTTCACTTTCTCCTTGACTTCCTTGATTTCCAAATGATGGCATAAGGGTTTGGGCAGATTCTGTATGGGACTTTTGGTGGAGGAACATCAGGGACACTGCAGCATTCATGTACGAACCCCCCCAAAAAAAAAAGGATTAGAAGAAGAGGTGGAAGCAGGTAAATTTAATTTACTATGTTTCTGTGAGATGGTAAAAGAAAGAAAGAATGAATCTTACTGTAATCCAGCAATGTCAATCTGTGAAAAGTCCATATTGTTGGTTGAACAACTGTCGAGGACTGGTGTTGCTGTTCCACTGGTCCTCCTACTTAAAGGTGTGGAGGAGGGTGGTGGTTGCTTGATGCCCAGAACTCTACAATTCAACTTGTTTGCAATGCTGCTGCTGCCTTGGGCCATTGCCAACCTATGCCAATTACCAAATGAGAAATATATAAACAAGTTTTACTTCAAGTTGATAAGAAAGAATTATCTGTGCGTGCAGAAGACATAAAAGAAACATCCAAAAACTTTGATTGGGAAACTCATCAGGACCACTTCTTCTATGATTACCAACAGAACAGAGGTAGCTAGCTAGATAGCAATGGCATTTACTAACATTTCCAAAACTGGCGTCATTTAATCAGATTCTTGATGAGCCACATGTTAGATCCAAAAGCCAAAAGGGATAATCTTATATCATTCAACACACCCTACTGCAGGGGTCACCCAGATAAACTTTGTATTTTTATATATATGATGTCTCAAACTATTTGCTAAGTCTTAAGTGGAGTGGAGCCCAAAAATTTCTGGCTAGCGATTTTGTTTCACCAACATGTCACATGCATAGCTTGTTCGTACATGACTCAAATGAACCATGGACCATGGTCCAATCCTATTCTCATCCCACTAAAGCAGAACAAATGTATTTGTGACCGGATCTGAAGTCAATCATACATTTTCATATAAGAACGCTAAATTGCATATTAGTATGTGATTGACTTGAAATACTGACATCCCGATATAAGAAAATTTCTCTCCCACTAAAGGGCCATGCTAGCTATTTGGCAATGGCAATTTCACACGGTACACATTAAATAAGGCGTACCATAAAGTGAATAATGTGAAATCCACCTAAACCCATCTGACAGTTGACCTCTTCTGTTCTGCCAGGACCTTCCTATGAAACTCACCTTATCTCATCACTGAATTTCAAAATTAAAGGCTTTGAATTCAGTCCATCAAGAACATCATCGTCATCATACATATAGAGATTAAACATTGGTACTAGATATCTAATGAATGAATTATATATCAAATCAAGCTTACCTGTAGAGAAAGCTGTGATCATGGAGGCCAAGCACAAGAGCTGAAGCCCCAATCTCTGTCACCACAGCTGCAATCTTCTTCCCATCTTGATCACCTTCTGTCACAATCATTTCAACCTTTGTCTGTAAATCATCATATCATATACACTGGTAATTTGAACATTTACATATAATCAGCTGCAAATTAATTAAATGGTCACATAAACAACAACATGTAATTGGTAGCTAGGCCTCTAGGTAGGGTTGCTTACGCTGGGGAAGGTGTTGCAGATGTCTTTGAAAGAGAGGGCCAACTGGAAGCCTTTCAAGCGGAGAAGCCTGGTTCTGTTCTTGTTTCTGGATCTTGAGGTTGGAAAAACATGGAGCAGAGTTATCAAGTCCCCATAGCGAACAAGGTTGTCAAGTGCCCATTTCAGAGCTGTTCTTGCTGCTTCCACGTCTTCAACCACCACCACTATTCTCCTCACATCCATAACCTGCTCTCTGCTCTCTCTCTCTCTCTCTCTCTCTCTGTCTTTGTAATTTGGGGTTTGTTTTGTGAGGAGAACCCAAAAGAAAACTCACAGATTAAATTATTTATGACTCGTCTCTGTCTTGGCTCCTTTTAAATGAGTTTGATATATATTATACATCAATCAACCACATATTACTTGTTTCACCACATAGCTGACCACAAACCACAATAATTAATTAATTAATTAATTAAACCAATAAATAAATAATTAGGTCTTTGTACCAGTTAGATTAGATGTGCATGCAAAATCAGGTATCTTCTTGGTTATGTCTATATATGACATTTTATGTTGTTCAATAAAATAAAAGTTACACGCTCTATATGAATTACTTTACCAATTGTATACTTCATGAATAAGAAATTTAGAATCTCTCTAGAAAAAAGATGCCAAGATAAAATAGTTTTTCTCTGACAATATTAAAATAGTTATTTGCGCAGGTATATATTTTTGATGTCACATTACTAATTCGCCCTTAGACTTAGAGCATTTGGCTGAATATTTTTTCATGATTTGATGAGATTTTGGGTACTAATCTTAAATTGTTTACAAACTTCAAATTTGATCGTGCCCGTTAATGCTTATGGGATCTAAGACCTAGAAAACTAGCATCTATTTTTCAAGAATTAAAAACTGTTGCCGGGAGTTTTCCAGATTGCCCCAATTATCACGCAAAAACCATTTTCTCATCTAAATCTCGAGTGATTATAAAATACTACGGTAGTACGATCACATAGTATATTTTGTACACATGTTATAATATAAGTGAATATTTATTGATACTATTTCTTAAAAAATGAGAAAATAAACCATATCGTCCGCTTATATTATAACACGTGTACAAGATGTACCACGTGATCATATTACCGTAGTATTCTGTAGTTTCTCCTAAATTTCCTCCCCTAACCACGTCAAAACTATGATCCACTTTTCTAGCAATACTTTGAAAATTGAATTAATGATTAAAATCAGAAACTTGTCATGTCAAGGGATAAAACAGAATTGACAAATTCTTTCGGAAAACTGAAATGTAAATATACGACAAGCAAGAACCTTAAATAATACGTACGGATTAAAAACAAAAACAAAAACAAATGTTTTTGTTCTAACGCACCTGGTGGATGGTTAGCTTAGCTACACAAAATTACAAATTAGAATAATATTTTTGGTCTGGCTGATATATAATTAATTTTATTTATACATGCCACCATTCTGTGGGGTTTAGACTCCACACGTATTAAAATAAAGGATATGAAACAATGGCATGGGGGGCTTTGTCACTTCGATTATTAAGTCACTCAACGACGAGAAAAAAGGGTCGTGTCGTCGGTTTGGTTGTGGCGTTTCTGTCGTTGTGTCTTTGATCTATCTTCTTGTTTGTTTGTCGTCTTTGTTGTGGTTCCAAGGGCACTCATTTTGAGTGACAGTTGCTTCCTAAAATATGCATCAAATTCATGACCCGCATTGCGTTGAGCAAACTGCCAACTGAGTTTAGGTTTTGTAGGTGTTATTTGAAGTGATGTGTTTTTTTTGTTGTTGTTGGGGTTACTGTGTCTGTGGGTGTGTTTTGCTCAATTGTTCTATTTTACTACATTTAATCTTCTCAAGCCAAAATTGGTGTATTTTGAATTTTTTAGTATTATATAATATCGTAAACGGTATTTTCAAAATTCCAAAAAACCAAAAATTTATGTTTGTGATGTTAAAATTGCATATTTAGATGTAACCAAAAATAGAAAATTACTGATGACGTTGAGATTAGATTAATTTTCAGACTATTGTTTATAAGCTCCCAAACAGTGGAAGGAGCCCAGGACTCTGATTGCGTGCATGTTGAAGAATAAGTGTGCTTGAGACCAATTTTTGATTGTTGTGCAATATGCAATTAACTAAAATAATAATTAATATTGCATAATCTATATTCTACACTCAAATTGGTATGTCATGAGAAATTCCACAAAAATATATAACGTCCTTCACAAAGAGAAGGAGGTAAGTGTGGAAATCTGAGAAATTGTCTTGCTAAAATCGGCTTATTGTTAAAAACCTACAAAATGATTGATTTTTTAATCCTTCTCTAATTTTTTATTTATTCTCTTGAGTGTGTCTAAATTATGCCAAAGAGCACTAAAACCACTGCACATTATTATACAGTTCAACATTATAATTCAGTTCTATATTTAATAAGGTCAAATATGGTTATTGGACAAAGCTTTTGGCCAACGGGGTCTAACGGAGTGAAAAATATCTTGATTTGCACACTAATGATCTCAGTTTCAAACTCTCATTGCACGTCCTTGGTAATTTATTTGTGAGAAAACTCTAATTCCCTTCTAATTATCCCCTTCTAATTTTGGCAACAACCAAAAAACAGCTTTTGAGTTTGAAAATCACCCATATGCGTCTTACCGAAACCAGGCCCATTTTTCTTTTCTTTGGGTACAAAAACGAGGTCCCATTTTAAGCATTTGTTTGGGCTTAAATCTAAATTAAGGCCAGTTTTTTCGGGTCCACCCAGACCAGTTTTTTTACAACGCCGAAGTCCCAAAAGGGTTTAAGCTGCCCAACCAAAAACCCTCAAAAATCCAGAGAGAAATTGAGCACCATAGCCATTTGCCACTCTGAAAATGTCCACCTCCTCCTCCATGGCTACGCTCTCCAGGAGACTCTGTAGCTCTCTGCACTCAAATCCTATGAATGTACTCTCTGTGCGCTTCTGCACCACCACCACCACCACCACCGACCTCTCCTCCTCCTCCAGCGACAGCTCTGACTCAGACGAGTCCAACCCTCTCAACTCGGAGCCCAACTCGCCCCAAGACAACGTCCCCCCACCACAGCCGCCACCGGAGGACTCCAATAGGAAAAACTTTGTCTACGATCGCCCGCTCGAGAACGGCCTCGACGTAGGCATTTACAAGGTACATTTCACTCGCACCATTTCGTTTGGTCCTTCCAAATAATTCAGTGTCTCAGAATTTGGGGTTTAGGGTTTTGATTGTGTGAGTCTGCGCGTGCGTTCAGGCGATACTGGTGGGGCAGGTGGGGCAGAGTCCGTTGCAGAAGAAGCTGAAGAGCGGGGCCACGGTCACCATGTTTTCTGTTGGGACCGGCGGCATTCGGAACAACCGGAGACCGTTCAATAACGAGGACCCGGCGGAGTACGCAAACCGCTGTGCCATTCAGTGGCACCGCGTTTGCGTTTATCCAGATAATCTTGGCATGATCGCCATGAAGAATGCTTTGCCTGGGTGAGAAGAAGTTTTCTCTTCACAGCTTAAATATCATGCTCCAAATTACTGTGCTTTGTGATTGTTTATGGCGGTATATATGTAATGTTTACTCTTCAAAAGACACAAAACACACACATCGGATGACTCTTTTTTGTTCAAATGCACGTAAATTTGATCATGTGATTTGGAAGATTTTGTCATGCCTTTTGGATAATTGGGACTAGCAAATTTTTCAACGGTAGTTTTAAGCAGAAATTGTGAGGGTTTTGCGGAATTTTGGTGATCAAATTAAAATGGAGCTTTTGTTGTAAGGAAAATTCAATGGAGATGCGATTACAGTCAAAATTGTAACACGTTGTACATCCAGATGGACAGGAAGGGTGTTCGGAGGATGTAAACTTAATGGAAGAAGGAGTTGTTTGAGATTGCAGTAACTTTGATCCTTATGAAGGAAAGTAAGTAATAGAAATTGGATATTTGTTGAGCAATGATTTTACCAATTGCTTTGCGGGCTTGTGGTTTGATGTTGCAATTTTGTAAATCATTCTGGTTTGTGCTTGCAAAGCTAGTCTCTAGTTTGAGATTGCAGTAATTTGTCATACCTTAATGTCCACTGCTGCTTAGTTCTTAATCTTGATCATGGCCTCCTTCCTTCCATGAGTGCAGAAGTTTGGTTTGTCTTTTTATTCTGTTGATTGGAGATTATAACCAGTTCTGCAATTGGCAATAACATATTGAAATTTGATACGTTGCAGTTCACGTTTATACTTGGAAGGTAATCTGGAGACCAAAATATTCACTGACCCGATAAGTGGGCTTGTTCGACGTGTTAGAGAGATTGCTGTTCGTAGAAATGGTATATACTCGGTCAATTTAAAATTGCGTAGGATAAGCTCAACCTTATTTCTTCCTGTTCTTTTAGTCTTTTTGCAATCAAAAGATATATAATTTGTACTTCTCATCATGTTTCCTGTTATATGCAGGTCGCCTTGTGTTTTTGGGTAAAGGTGATGGTGCTGAACAACCGCCGAAATGGGGACTGAAAAGTGTTGGCTACTACTGAAAAACTTTGTTTTTAGTTGTGACAGATTTTATTGACTGAAAGATTTTTGCTTTGTAATTAATTCTCTATTCCGCTTGAGACCAAGGGGAAGGCAGATTAATATTGGTCTTCTTTTTATTTCTTGCTCATTTTTCCCGTACTTCAACGATTTCATATAGTTATAAATTTCACGTTGTATGGCAATTTTCATAGTCTAATTTGACGTCCATCAATTGATTTAAGAGCATGTTTAAAGCTGTGATTAACATAAAAGCTGAGTATTACAATATGCACTTGATTATTAACAGTAATTAAGCAAATCACAAAAGAAGCTGTTTGGGTTGACTCTGGTTGTCCAGATTGGTAGTGTGGTTTTTAGGTACCACAAAAATCAGATGTTCCAAGGCATTTGGATAAGCTTTGGGTCTTTCTTATCCACAAAATCTCCACACCTAAAAGGAGTGAATACAGAGTGAAGTAATGCTTTTGGCCATGAATTTTATATGATTCAGCCATGATGCTCTGAAGAAGACAGACCTAGCAAAAAGATAAAACACTCTCCTTGACAAGAGAGATGTTACAAAGTCCAAAATTCTTGCAATCCTCCGCTCATTGCCTTCCTCCTCCAACACCACCACCGCCCATTCCACAACTCCAAGTTGTACCCACTTGCTCATCTTTCCCTTCCATCAAACAATGCTGCAAATTCTCACGTAGAGAGCTCACAATTGGAAGCAATTCTCTTTTACTTGCCCTTCTGGCCTCGCAGAGTTTAGAGGCTTTGTTACCGTCCAAAGCACAAGCTGAGAACCTGGTAGACGACGACACAAACAGAACTGAACAAGAAGCACAAACTTCAAATGCTACTGCTGCTGCAAGCACTGACAGAAGCCCAACAAAGCGTGCATTTCTCGATATATCCATTGATGGAGAGCCTGTTGGTCGCATAATAATTGGGCTACAAGAAGACGATGCCCCTGTTGGAGCTGCGAGATTTGGCAGTCTTGTGAGTGGAGCTGCTGGGACTAGCTACAGAAGGAAAGAGTTCATTAAGATTATGCCCAACTACGTTCAACATGGAGGCGTGAGATCTTTTGGTATAGATGCTGAGCTCGCAAAGAAGACAGGAACCAATTTGGAAGTTGATAATCTGATGGAAGAGTGGGAGAGACTGAATGAAAAGTGTGCGGGGATCAAGAACAAGGCTGGAAGTGTGAGCATTGTTGTGAGAGATCCTTCGAGACCACCCCCCAAGATGAAGCTGGTTGCCCGAAAAGGGAAGTTGGAGATTGATCAAGAGGAGGTTGGCACAGCCCCGAATGGAACGGAGTTTGTGATCACCACCAAGGATTCGCCTGAGCTCGATGCTTCAACATTGGTGGTTGGAACAGTCCTGGAAGGTAAGGAGGTGGTGGAGAAGATTGGTGCGGTGAAGACAGTCCAAGAGAATACCAGTTCACCTTATTTCAGGTAAAACCCTTCTATATAAACCTAAACCATCCTCCTCATATAGCCTTCAAGGCTTCACCTTTGTGATGATATTTAGACGCTAACAAAGCAGGTTGTCGGCAGGGTGGCCAAGCTGATAGGAGATAAGAGAGCTGTTGTGGCAGAAAGAGGATTCAACCGCCCTTACGCAAAGGTTGTTATCACAAACTGTGGCTTGATGAAGTAACGTAATACTCGGCAATTTTTTTTTTGGTTTGTCTTTCCAGTTTTGTAAGAAGAGAAACACTTCAATGCAATACATCAAATCGTTGTAGAAGTCTTAATCAACTTCTATTCCTAAAAAAATTTGATAACTGTGTTTATTTAAACCGCAAGTTGCCCAGCTGATAAGGAGAATGTTACAGTTTTTAAGTTGGGCAATAAAGGAATGTTACACTCTAATCTTGTAATATAGTACAACACTTCTAAAGCTTTCAAATGGGTTTTGATGCCATGAGAGAGGGACATTCGAATGGAGGATGCTACAACCTAACCTCATATCACAACCAATCCTGGACCTCCTTGGATAACATTTTACGGGTGGCAAAAAATCAGTCAGCTACTGTTTAGTGTTTTGAGTTAAAACAGTTGGCTTCATTCTTTTTGGAGAAGGAGACGTGAAAAGATTTCTGATTGAAGTGACAGGGTCATCGACCTGTACAAATGATCAAATGCCAAATGATGATACTACTCAGAAAACAATTCGACAATAAACAAATCCAAATTTACATGTAAAAACACAGACGGACTACATGCATTCAAACATGTCTGTGTGTGTGCGTGAGAGAGAGAGAGAGATATATATATATTGCAAACTGCCAATTCCCATGTTTGGCAAAGAAGAGATATTGATGAGTTCCAAAACATAGGCTGGGAAGGGATAATCTCAGTCAACATGTAGGCACAAAAGGAGAAGTAGGCCTCAAGAATACCTTAATTATGGATTTAGATGAAGGAGAACCCCCTTCCTGTCGTTGTAAAGCAGATAGTGTTTGTTTCCATCCAGGTGCTCCATTACCTGCTGATGCAATCCAGGGGCAGAAATATCTATGCTGCCTGATAGGATCAAACTCCATCGTGCTACCAGGCAATACATGCGTTGGGTCCTTCACTGCAAGAAAAGACAAAGCAAATTATTGAAACCTATTTTGATACCATACGGGAAATGCCTTGACAAGGGAGCAAAGAGACGTCATGTCATGCATATGAAATACAGGCTGCTGACAATGTTCTTGATTACAAAACTTTGACCAATCGGTCAGTGATTATAGTTGCAGGTACCAATTATAGGACCAAATAATAGTCAAAACAGATAAATTAGGAACATTAACATGAAACAGACCTATTGGTGAATTTACGGAACACGTCTATGTGGCAATTAACTGCATCAATAAATAAAGTAAAACAAGCACGAAACTAGAAAAGGTGGAGTTGGGCACAATATTATAGAAGCAAAAGATATATAATTTTAGTGTTTGCGAAACAAGCAAGGAGACTAGTGTATCTATGCATTCTATAAGGAAAATATAATAATAATAGTAGAGCCCATGGAATACATATTGCTTACCACTACTGCAGGCCACAAGTTCATTGTTTATGGGAATTTGCACTCTGTTTTCACTACCCTCGCAGTTTGAGGTGGGTTGGGCATCAGTTATGGAGCTGTTAACATCTGCATTGTCTTCCAAGTTAGATGGAACACTTGGAGAATCTTGTTTTTCGCTGCCATCCACAACGATTCCTGATTGTAACAATTTTCCTTCGTTAGAAACCATCACCAGTGAGTCATTTTTGTCCGTTTCACTATTTTCATATGTGATATTGGCGTCAGAGGCTGTTCCAGGGTCCCTGACTTCTGAATTCTCCAATCCGACATTTCCTGCATTTTCTCGGTAGTGTTTGTCCCCCTTATCCATCTGGGAATCAGATTGCATAACTTCTTGGCTAACAGACACACAATCTCTAAACTCAGAATCATATGAAAACCGGGCCCTTAAATTCCGGCCAATAACAGGTAAAGAAATTGTTGCTTTGAAGTTCTGTTTTGTTGGTGGAGGACCCCCAGCAATTGTCAAATTTAAATTTGAGAACCTCTCCTTCGACAATGTTGCACCATCTGAGCCAGCACCTACAGTATCTACCCTACTGTCAAGATGATTTTTAGTGCTTGAATCAGGGGTTCCAGGATGGCTTTCAGAATGTACTTCTGCATACCCAACTAATCTGAAAAATTCCAGAGGCCGTGGAACTGTTGAGAAAGCCCATAATCCTACACTGGCTCCACAAAGCTTGCAATCTAAGACAACAGAATTGGGTTCAGACTGTATAGAACTAGAAGTGCTGGCATTTCTCTCTACCTCCACAAGTTCATCATTACTAGTAGAGTGCACATTGATGCTTGGATTTTGTCCATTAGTAGCTGAATGAGATGAACTTGAAATATTTGCCTTCATGACTGAATGATTTAGTCTGTTCTCAGAATCAACAACATACGGTAGTGAACGAGGTTCCCAGCCGCATAAGCTTATGAGCTTTTGTGCCTGCAAAAACTATTCAAACATGATTAGTCTACATGAAGAAAGCAAGAACGCTAGAAACTATTAAGATTTCTGTAAAAAGAAAAGATTCCGAAAGTGTTAAGAATCAGATTGAGAAGATATGAAAGAGTGATGTACAAGTACATACAATGAAGAAAGCAAAATTTAGCAATAAAAAATGAAGGAAAAGGACTCAGATATCTCAACACAAGTAATATCAGCAACAACAGGCAAACCGAAGATCAATTATAAAACTTTTGCCAACACGACATGCAAAACGGTTAGGGGTGGTACAAATGCAAATTAAACAGGTGCAAACCTGATAATACAACTTAGCAGAATCTGCACTGCCTTCATTGTCAGAATGTTCTGTTCTAGCAATGTCGCCATACCCATTGCCATAAAACATAGAAGACTGTCCAAGAAATTGCTCGAGCTGAGGGCTCTTCATGTACTGAATGGCTGAAGAAGAAATCACAGGAAGAACTGAAAGTTGTAATAGAGCAGAGCAGCGTTCTCTAAATTTATCAACTAAAACCGGAGGCGGGGTAGGTGGAAACTCTGCCAGTATTTCATCACAAGTATTGTCAATCCATGGACAAAGTATTTTATGTCCGTTGTCCAGCTTTAAACTAAATACCAAGGCTGCCTTCTCAACTGGAAAACACAGGAAATAGCTTTAATTTAGGATGAATATAAGTTAACAACAAATATTTGCTTCTTAATTTACAGCAATTGATTAATTGGTGGAAGATTTAGCATAAAGAGATGAATAACATGCCTTGCTGCTGATTCCAAGATGATGGAGTAGAAAAGAAGAGACGTGCCCCACATGATTCACATGCTATTATATCCGTATCTACATTGATCCAACCTCTTCTGGCACAATTTATAGCACTGACCACCTGTTCAACATTGGAGAAATCTGTATTATGTAATGGCTTCATTGTAAATGACTCATTAACCAACGACGTTGTTTCACCATACCCTAGTTTCTCTTTTAAACATAACAACACAGCAAAGGCAAAACCAGAGCTCATTTCAAGACCATATTCGGAGCTATTTTAGTTAGCTAACAAACAAGTAAACACTAACCATACAAAACCCGTTCTGATGTATGATAGAATTCTAACCTTAGGCTTGGCAAACCAAGTCATAGACTTGAATGTAGCTACCCTCCTCATAAGATCCCCACGGTCCCATGGCCTACAGAGTGGAGCATGAGCCGGTGCAGGGGGAACTGACAAATGCCGCGAGGCCTCCACTCTATCACTTCTCGATTTTGGTTGCACCAATGCCAATGCAGAAGATGGATTTGCTCGCTTTTTGCCTCTTGATGTTTGTACACTCGATGAACTGTTAGGAAAAAGAAAAAAACAATGAGCATTCTATGGTTTAGCTAACAATTACAAACACGATTTCCATAAATCCTACACAAGAACAGTCATAACCGATTTATGGTAATTTTATTTAATAAAATGAATTAATATGATATAATCTGGCATTGAACGACAGCTAGCGACCATGCGATTTCAATAGCACAATCCTAATTACGCTGAGAGATGAAACTTCTCCAATCAAACTCTTATAAGCAAACATAGAAATCGATATCTTCATTGACGGAAAACGAGCAAGAAAATTCGGAGGAAAATTTTAAGAAAAAAAAAAAATTACGAACCTGGAAGTGGAGCTTGGCGCAGATTTGGGAGCGAAAAAGAGCTTGTCCATGATGGAATGGAACCTCTTCTCAGAATCTTTCGACATTAGTTTTCTTTCTTCTTCGTTTTCCAGAAGAAATTGGAATATTGGAATATGAGAATAGCTTCGGGAAGTTCAGAGCTAACGACCTAATTAAGATATAAAAGCTGTGTGGTAGTGTATCTATTGTACGTGCTTGCTGTTGCTGGTGAATATGAATCTCTCAAGCTAACACAAAATTGTTTCCTTCTTCTTTCTCTTTTGCTTGAAATCGGGTTCTAATTCTAGGGCGGGCCACGACGGTGTTTCGCAGTGAGGGTGATTAATAGATTTCACTTGTTTCTACAGCTCCAGCTCTTGATATGTATTTTTTTTTCGGAGATTCACTATTATATCCAATACAGGAACCCAAATTATAAAAAAAAACTATATATAAAATGAACTTTAGAAACACATCCGAACCCCATTTACAATACAACAATAAAAATGCTTTTAACTTCTTTTAAATTATAAAATTGTCCTTGATTTCTTAAAACAAACTCAACTCAAAAACCTCATAAAAAAGCCCAAAACAATCAATAGGGCATCAAAGTAATTTAATAATCAAAATTAAATTCAATAAGGTCAAATGTCATTTTTTGTGTTTTTTTTGGGTTTGTTTACATAAATTAAATGGTGTAGGGTTTATTTATAGTTTTAGTGCTAAGAATATGTATTTGACTAAATATCTCTTCTTCTTTTTCGGTTTGAAAGTTCCTTGATATTCTTTATGTCGCATGATAACAAGGTAACCTTCCATTTGGATGAACGAATTGAAAATTGCATAGAATTATAAAACGACGGAATTTAAATTTTCATCATTTCAATTTCTGGCAATTGAAGATTTCAGTGTTTGGATTTATGTATGCCGAATTTTATAAAGGCTTTTTATCACAAAACGTCCCTGACGTTTGCGAAATTATCAGATTGCATCCTTAAAGTTTTTTTGTATCACTAATGGTCCCTAACGTTAATATAGGTGCTCTTAAATAGTCCTTCTGTAAAAAAAAACTGTTAAATCCAGGGATATAATCGTCAAATCAATCTAAAATTATAAAATATATATATAAATTTCTCTCTCCCCTCTTTTTTTTATTTTTTTATTTTTTATGTTTCCTTTCCTTCTCTCTCTCTTTCTTTTTTTCTTCTTTCTTCCTCTCCCCGAGTTCAGTCTTATCTCTCCTCTTTCTTTTTTATTTCCTTCCCTTCTCTCCTTCTTTTCTTCTTCGTTCTCCTTTCTTTCCCCGAGTTCACTCTTCTCTCTCACTCTTTCTTTTTTTCTTCTTCCTCTTGTCATGGGCATTTTTTTTCTTCTTCTCTCAGCTAGAAAACTGGGCATTTCCCCATTCTCTCTCCTTTATCTTTTTTTTTTTCTTCATTCTCTGAGAATGATTTGGGTACAATGTGCAAGGGTTGGTTTGGGGCAAAAAGTCACGACGTCGGCTTCTATTGGCCTCTTCTTCTACCTTTGTTCAATTTTTATTTTTATTTTGGAAAAAAGCTGAAGAAAAAGAGAACAAAAAAATCCACAGACACAAACCCATTCGCAGGAAAATGAGCAACGACGATGGTAATCGGAATAGGAATAAGAAAGGCCAGTGGACACCGCCAAACAGACCCTACCAGGAGAAAGAGGAAGACATGAAGATTTGGGGAGAGAAAGAAGAAGGAGGAAGAAGAAAAAAAAGAAAGACAGAGAAAGAGAAGAGTGAATTCGTGGAGAGAAAGAAGAAAGAAGAAGAAAAGAAAGAGAGAAAGAAGAAGACAGAAAGAGAGAAGGAAAGGAAATAAAAAAAGAGAGGAGAGAGGACTTTTTATAATTTTGGATTGATTTTACGATTCTATCCCTGAACTTAACAGTTTTTTTGACAGAGGGACTATTTGAGAGCACCTATATTGACGTTAAGGACCATTACTGATACAAAAAAACTTTAAGGATGCAATCTGATAGTTTCACAAACGTCAAGGACGTTTTGTGATAAAAAGCCTTTTATAAATGACACTATGGAAATTGTGAAATGACACCTATTTTAGTGGAAATTAAACTTGGGAATTTGATGCCCCAATTTTCACGATTTTTTTTGCAAGTCATTTAGTAAATTCCGCGCTTAAGTTGCCAAACAAAGGAATTGTCAATTTTTTCTCTTAAATTCCCGACTTTAAGCTAAATTCCGAGTTGTTTTTCCTCTTAAATTCCCAACTTTTAGCTCACTTTCGAGTTGTTTTCCCTCATCCAAATGGAGGGTAAAAGAATTAGTTAAACCCAAGTATTTCAACCCAATGATATTTCTTTAATTTTCATATCCTATTTGGTTGGGTCAATTTGCTAAGACAATATGCCGATTCCAAGTTCGATACTCGTTTCCATGTTTTTTCTTCTTTGGAACTCGTCCATTTGTATTAAGTAGTTAGAATATCAATTTGTCAAAACAAAAAAAAAATTTGTAATACATTTTTAATTCCATATCACCTTGAAATAATAAAAAAACACAACAGCAAAAGTTAAAGTGTAACGTGGATAACACTTTTTGCTATCCCCATTTCATAATACAATGATATAAGAGATAACTTTTCCACGTGTCATAATGTTTACAAGTAAGTTTTTTTTTTCGTACGTGGAGCTAGCTTTAGCTATAATGTAAAGCCTGCTCCATGCAAATTGAGAGGTCTCAAGACTAGAGTCATTCTATAGTGAGAGTCTTATATAAGGTCTTTAGATGAGGTTATATCTCTTAATCATAGGATTAAACTAACCAATTTGATCCCACAATTAAAAGAAAGGGCATCATTTAGCGGCCTTATCTCACTATAGAATTCTGCTCAAGAGTAATATTTGGGCCTCAAGGTTGACAACGTAGGCCCATACATAAACAATACAAAGATTTGATCCAAACTAATAATGGATATTTGGGCCACGAGAGATTCAAGAGGCCCATCACCTTCGTTAGATTAGAGATGACAATGACATGCTAAACTAAAATAAAATGTACGGAAGCAGTAGGCTGCACTCGGCAGCTCTCTAACATATATAGATGGTGGACTATATTTTACACTGCACTACATATAATTATATATAATATATATAGCCTTTTTCTGTCAAGGGTGGTCCAAATATATTCAAAGTGGTTCTTTCTTGCATTGCAATTTGCATTCACTCTCATCCTTTTGCTTTCTTTCTGGGCAGTGGGCACCAGCCAGCTATCCTAGCAATAAGACTGTATGTGATCAGAGATGATATATGATGGTAAAGTATAATATGATTCACTTAATTTAATAGAAAATGCACCTTCAAATTTCTCCATCATTCAATTCAAATGTGTGTCTCATAAATGGGTCCCCTGGCTAGCTACAAAAAGCCTCCATCTATCTACTTCTGTCAAGCTAAGCTCTAATCAGTCTCTGCTGTGCAAACCAAGTTGCTGAAATTTCTGCCATAAATTCATAATCAATGTTTTAATCCCATTCCGACACAAACTCCCAAGCTAGCTATCATGCTCACCTCTCTCTCTCTCCATTATCTTCCTCTTTCTTTTTTCTGTAAACAACTTTTGAAGTGTCTTCACCCTACTATACTAACAGCCTAATGCCATAATTATCTAACTTACTGACTTGCTTGCAGCCGCTCCTAGCTACTCTCTTGTGTATTGTGCCTTTGCATTAGCCATAATTAGCTAGCTAACGCCCAACTCCCACCACTTTTAATCTAACTCGTGCATCTTTCACACCATAATTTTGTTTAGATGGATATCGTTAATGGTTGTTCTGCAAAGGTTGCCTTTCTCTTTTCACATCTACGTCAATTTATTATGAGCATTTACTTCTCTTTTCCTTTTATAGTCTGGGTTTTCAGGATTCTTCATTTCTATTTTGCTTCTCTTTCTTTTGTGTACCAGTTCTTTTTCAAACAAGTTAGTTACCAGCCAGCCAGAGCAGAGCCAGGCCATATATTCTTTGTTTCTATTGGCAATGAAGAACTTCTCCACTATTGCAACTCAATATATTTATGTGCTATTCTTCTTGCACTACTGCTGCTGCACCATGTTTGTTCTGGTTTTAGTGCAAGCAGCAGACCCTTCATCATCGGAAGCACCCATGCACAAAGCAGAGCAACAAGCCCTTTACTCTGCTGTTCAAGCCTTTGTGGGCAGCTGGTGGAACGGCTCAGATCTTTATCCTGACCCTTGTGGCTGGACCCCAATTCAGGTATTAATATCCCAATGATCAGTTGTAATTGTCATCAGCACTTGAATTTCCACAATTTTCAATCTGCATTATTTGTGAAACTCAGAAATGTTTTAATGATCATGCGCAGGGAGTCTATTGTGATCTCTACAATGACTTCTGGTATGTTAGTGTTATAAATATCGGGCCGCTCTACGACAACTCTCTTCGGTGCACCGCAAATATTGTTGAGTTTTCACATCACCTGTTCAAGCTCAAGCACTTGAAGGTCCTCTCATTTTTCAGTTGCTTCCTCTCACCAAGCCAAAACCCTATAACAATTTCCACTTCAAACTGGGAAAAGCTTGCAAACAGCTTAGAATCCTTGGAGTTTCGATCAAACCCCGGTCTCATTGGAACAGTTCCAAACACTTTTGGTTACCTCAGAAACCTGCAATCTCTAGTTCTGCTAGAAAATGGATTAGGAGGCAACTTGCCTGAGGAAATAGGCACTTTGGTCAACTTGAGGCGGCTTGTCCTTGCAGGAAACCAATTTTCAGGCAAGATTCCAGAAAGCTTTGGAGGGTTGAGTAAGCTCTTAATATTGGATGCAAGCAGAAATAAACTGTCTGGTTCATTGCCTTTGACTTTTGGAAGTTTGACTTCACTTCTAAAGCTGGACTTAAGCAACAATATGTTGGAGGGGAAGTTGCCTAGAGAGATTGGAAGGCTAAAAAATCTCACACTTTTAGACCTTGGCAGTAACAAAATATCTGGTGGGTTAGCTCAGTCACTTGAAGAACTGGTTTCTGTAAAAGAAATGGTGATATCCAACAACCCAATAGGGGGTGGCTTGAAGAGCATTGAGTGGCAAAATCTACAAAGCTTGGAAATTTTGGACCTTTCAAACACATGCTTGACAGGGAACATTCACAAGTCCATGGCAGAAATGAAAAGGCTTAGATTTTTAGGACTTAACAGCAACAATCTCTCAGGAAGAGTATCTCCAAGGCTGGCAGCTCTGCCTTGCATCGGTGCTCTTTACCTTTATGGCAACAATTTCACTGGAGAACTTGAATTCTCAGAATCCTTTTATAGGAGGATGGGGAGGCGCTTTGGAGCTTGGAACAACCCAAAACTTTGTTACAGGGCTGAAGGAAATTCAACAGGCCATGTTCCTTACGGGGTAAAATCATGTAAGCAAGAAACCACTATTAATATTTCTGGTAATGTTCTTTCAAATGCCAAGTTAAGTGAAGCAAATTGGGATCACAGTATCCAATTTGTGGCATCCTTGGGATTTTCAAGTTGTAATCTTGATGGGGTTCTGTGGGTTATTATTGTCCAAGGGATGTTGTTTATTCTTCTTCTTTGATGAAATTAATAACTGTTTCCAACACCATTTTTCCTCTTTATAGATTATCCTTTGTAAGTTTTCATTTACTGTCAACAACAAGAACTAAAAACTGAGAGCCAAAAGAACAGCCCTTTTCACTAGTCACTTCTACCCTGAATCTGAAAATTGCTAGAGTAAAAGTACTTTTAAAAAAAGAAGAAAGAAGGCTCAATTCAAAGTTTGTTAAAAATCAATCAACCTATAATATTGCAATCTTAAGCTAAGTAAAAGAATGGCCGGCATTTAGTCAGAGAGCTCAGCAGTCGTTCAGTACTTGATGAAGAAAGTTTCAGTTTCAGTTTCACCATGTGATATAACTTAGCACTTGGAATCTAACTGTACCCAATTCTGCTTCACTACCCAGTCATTCAGAGAACAGAGGCCGCATTTTTTAACCATCTGGCTTTTTGCAAATTATAATTAACAGGCTGCTTCTCACCACAGAAAGTTTATGATTTTGAGTTACTTTTACCACACGGTAAGAAACATTTTCCTGACTGTCCTCTCATCATCTCAGCTAGTTTCACTCAACAGCCTCATCCTCAGCTGCCATTTGAAAAACAGTTGTACCAAGTCAAAGATAGGCCTTGCTCAACGGATACCTTCAACAAGCTCACCACCTCCACTTTTTACTCCTAACAATCCTCAGTTTGTTTTTTCACCTTCAGTAACAAACTAACTCAACTGCAGTAGACTTCCTCTTTTTAAGTTCAGCCCAATGCTCTCACTTCCTCATCAAACACTATCACTTTCTTCTTCCTAGTGCTAGAGATCAACCAAGCAGAGAGCTCCCTACACAATCCAAATTCTACTTCATGGAACCCTCCAAAGTAGTTCTCTTCTTTTTTCTTCTTTCTAGCTTCCAAGTCTTGTTTGTAACTTGCACGAAATTTGAAGTTGGAGGCAAGAATGGGTGGGAGGTCCCCAAATCAAAGAATGACCAACAAATGTATAACCAATGGGCATCAGATAACAGGTTCAAGGTCGATGACACTCTCCGTAAGTCCTCCATCTATATCTACATACACACTCTTTAATTAAGCACCTAAACCCTACCTCTGAATTACTTTTGTAAGGGGTTTGTAACTCAAGTGGTTGAGAACAATTACCCTTGCATCCGAGATATTCCAACCTTTCGAAGCCTCTTTCATGCAATATTGCTTGTATCACAAAAGTTTTTTTTTTATCTAACTAAACTTGCCACTTGGGTAATATTGTTTTGCTTTGTTTTTCATGGACTTAGATTTCAACTACACCAAAGACTCGGTGCTGGTGGTGACCAAGGACGAGTACGAAAAATGCCATTCTGCTCATCCCATCTTCTTCTCCAACAATGGTGTGACTGTGTTCACATTGGACCGGCCTGGTTTGTTCTATTTCATTAGTGGGGTTTCTGGGCACTGCGAGAGAGGCCAGAAGATGATCATCAAAGTGTTGGAACCAGCAAGCCCACCTCAATCTGCTGACCAGAACGAGCAGAAGAATGATGCTGCAGTTGCAATGGCCACCATCTCTTCTGCAACTCTCATGTCCTGCATTATGTCATTTGTGGGGTTCCTTTTCTTCTGAATGCAGTGATCAGTGATGGTTACTATATTTTTCTTTGCTATTTTTTCCCATACCCCTGATTCTTAATTAGGTTTTTTCTTTTAGTTTGTTTCCATTAATTGGGTAAGTTTAGATTAAAAGGAGTGTAGGACTGGAACTGATTGAGATTATGAAAGTAAATTTGTTTCAAGTATGATATTTCTTTATTGAATTATTATATTATTGTTATTATTTTCTCTCTGTTTTTTTGGGTAGGGATTGGTTTTAACTCTTGAACAAATTATTTGCCTTCATATTCATACAAACCATAAACGAGATAACTGCATTACATGCCTTCTAATATAAGATATGATAGCATAAGATATTTGAACATATACAAAACATGTTTCTAATATATAATAGCATAGCATTGGATCAGGACATTAACGGGATCTTATACTAACACCAGTCTTATAATGTGTTTTTGGCGCATTTTAACCAAGTTTTCAATGAAGGGAAAACCTTCATTCACTATCCCAATAAATAAAAAAGGTTGTTTTCTACACCAAAGCGAAAACTTCTATGCCAACAGGGTCCACTTACAGACCGGTGTATCGCTACAAAGCCCCTTACTAAATAAATAAAAAGTAGCATTTTCACTATTTTACCTAATACAACAAGTATTCAAAGTTCTGTTGAACTCCTACATATCAGTTTCAACAAGAATGAACTAATTTTATTCATTGCAGCATATCATGCAATATTTCAGGTTATAAAACTAGTATAATCTATATGTTCATATTTTGTGTGTTTTCAAGATTAGTACATTATTGTGATAATGATGAGTCATCCAATGCCTAAAAGAAGAAAAATGGCATCTTCCCCTGTTTGAAACTCATTATATTTCTACCTTCGTCTATTTGCATGGGCAAGTCATGCAATGTAAAAGTTTTGCTTTCCTCATGTTCTCTTGGTTTCTTGCTTTCCACTTCTTGCTCATTTGGGAGTGCTTCTATAGTAAGCACTTCTGCACATAAGCGATTCTCATAAAAGCACTTTTATCATAAAGATGTTGAAATTTCCATTAAAAAATCCAAGTGCTTCTTGAAAAAGCACTTGAGAGTACTTTTTGAAAAAGCAATTGGGAGTGCTTCATGAATAAGCACATAGGATGTGCTTTATTAATAATCATGAAAAGCACATAGCATGTGCTTCTTTATAAAGCGCTTTTACGACCTAGAAGCACTTCTAACATTTTCTGCCAAACACTATTAGAAATGCTTTTGGTTATCATAAAGCGCTTTTAACCCTCTCAGAAGCACTCCCAAACATGCCTTTGGGTTTTAGAATAAAAAGCTTTATTTCCCTTTCTTATAAACAACCACCCCCCTCCCCCCCCCCCGAGAGAAACTCTCATGCAACAGGGATAACACTTTTTGCTAATCCTGATCAGTAACGCAATGACATATATGATAACTTTTTCACGTGTTATTGTGTTATTGGTTGGGGATAGCAAAATAGTGCTATTCCCGTTATAGGTAAGTTTTTTTTGGTAAAAGGGACCCTCAAAACAAAATCAAAGAGGAGGAAAACAATAAAATTAAGTTAAGTTCACACCCAAAAAAAAAAAAACAATAATTGTTTGTTTATTTTAATTCACTTTCAAATCTCATCCATGCAAAAATTAACAAAATTAAAAATGGATTAATCATCATACTAAAATCAAATAAATAAACAAAAACATTATGTTTTGTGAACATACCATAGTGATTGCCTCAGAAATCAAATGGGTGATCTAATTTCAAGTTAGATAAGTTTTTGTGAAGATAAAAATATTTTAAAACAATATAGAGGGTTTGGACAATGAAACCACGTCACATTTTAGGGTAACATTTAAAAAAAAATTATTTTATACTAAACTAGCCTCTCCGCACGCACTTCCGCGCTTGTGAGATGCTTTTTTTTTATAGAAAATTTTAAATTTATTTTAGAATTAAAAAAGATAATGGGTAGTTGTGTTCCATAAAAATAGGATCCATTATCTAATTTTTCTTTTAATTTTAAAATTTTTTAATATGAAAAAGTGTGAATTTACCATATTATCCTCATTTAATTAATAATTTCAATTCTTAATGTTTGCATTAACTAAGGGCATTTTTTGGTATTTTGAATGTTTCACCATTCTCTACCTTTTGCTTTATATATATAGATATAGATTTCATATTAGTTTCCTACTAAAAGTTACCATATTGATTATTGAACCGACTATACATCGGCTTCTCTTACGCGTCGGATGACCAAATACGCAATAATATTTTCTATATTTTTCATTAGTTAAATTTTTTTTAATTAAAAAAAACTAAACCCTACTGAATTAGAAATTCTCCGTTTCCTAAAATAGTAAGGGCACTCACTTGCTTCCCCCTCCTCCAACTAGGGCTCGGACTGAGAAGTGACTGGCCTACAGCATCGCAAGAATGTAGAATTCGTACGAGCCACAAGGTTAATGACTTATTTGTTGTCTTTGAGTAGCTCTCAGCAGAAAACCATAATTAACGCAATGGCCGTCTGTAACATCCTGACCCAAATAAAAGGAATAGTAAATTAATTAATTTCAATAATTATGAATTTTCAATTTTGCCCTTGGAGTAGGGGTAGTTTAGTTATTTTTATCCGGGAGGATTTCGGGGCAGTGGCTGGTACCTTTACGTAGGTCGTACTGAGACGAGTCCGTAGGCATGCAGTAGGCTTGAATCGGAGTTGTAACGAGAGAGATACGATCTAAAAACTCTCAGTGGCACAATCGTAATTATTTTGAAGTTTATTTTTAATAAAAACAGAAAAACACACTCTCTCTCCCTCTTCCCCGCGCGCAGCTCCCCTCCCTTCGTTTTTCAGAACAGCCGGTGGCTTTGCAAGCCACCACCGTCGCCCCGCCGGACCACCGGCCATGAGACCGGTACCATTCGAACCGCCACCTCCCCCTCTCTCTTCCCCGGCCAGCACAGCCCTTGGAGCCGACGAAACCCGCCGGAAAAACGCAGAAAATTTGCTGGTTTTTGACAGATTTTCCAATCGCTCGTTCTCCCTCAATTCTCCACCAAATCGGACGAATGAGGTATGGATTTTCGACTACTTTTCATGATCTAGCTGCTGGTTGGGTAGGATTGCATCAATTTTGAGCGTAGGTAGTTCGATTTTCGAATTTAGGTTTGGCCGGACTTCGGGTTGAATTTCCGACCACTTCCGGCCACTTTTTGGGGTATGTCCAAGAACAAAAGTGGCTCCAAATTAGGTGTATTACCTAGGGTAGGAGTCTTGGCTCGAGATTCTGAGATTTTCCGGCGATGCGATATCGCTTTGGACACCCACGTGATGCCAGCGCGTGTGGCGGCGCGTGGGCACTGTATCAGAGGGGCATTTTGTCCCAATGCAATCCCCTGGTTGTCACGAGCACGTAGGATTTTACCCGGGTTCGATAGGTTAGAACCGTTGGATCACTTCCAAATTAATATATGTTGATCTAGGCATTCTTAGGATTGTGTAAGGTTTCACGGATCGTGAATCGGAGCCCCGGATGTTCCGATTCAATAAGTTAAAGTTTGTGTTTTACTATAACCGTCCGATCGTGCGATCGCGAGTGATCTAACTGTCCAATCCCGACCAAACTTGCAGGACGTGTATCCTAGACCTTGTTGAACCCATTGGGACTTTCAGATCGTAAAACGGGGTTTGTGGGGCCCGCGGGCCCGGTTGACCAAATTTGAAAGGTTTGAACCCTCGGTTGACCGTAAGTCTTTCGAGATAGTTGCTCTTCGAAAGATACTAGAACGACCCGTTTGGATGAGTCTTGACCGTCTTTTGATTTATGTTGATTATGTGGGTCTAAGAGATTATTTTTATGGTTATGTGATCGAAATCTTATGCTTTTGAATTTGATATCACAAAAACAATAACAATATTTTATACAAACTTGGTTTCTTTTTATTTATTTTAAATAATGCAATTTTATACATACTTGATCGATATTAACATTGCAAACTTGATAGATAATTAATATTGCAGCCCTACAAATTTATGCAAGGACAATCCTTATTTAAGGCCCAATTTGTTTTTCATCCAATGACCCAATTGATTTATCATATACTAAATAGCATGTAGGAATTGCAGTCGCACTCACATGTTTATTCCTCTTTTTTTTTGGGGGCCTTGTATAACATGACATCGTTTTGCTCAGAACTTAAAAAACAAAAGGACAGCAGCTGTGATGCGCACGCAGGAAAAGAAAGGAACCCAGCAAGTTTGCTTAAGCTTTTTTTCAAACACTTGGAGTGCAGCAGCAGCCAGAGCAGAGGTGGGAGTGTCTGGTTTTGGGACTGGAAGAGCGTCATAATTTTCACCAAGAAGGCAAGGCACACTTGTCCTCAAAATGAATGTTGCAATTGGAGCACCTTTTATGCTTCTTGTGAAGAGCCTGTTGGTGTGCAACCAGACCCGATTTGTTGATAAAACTTGAAGTTTTGTCACAAAGCTTACAAACAAAGGTAGACATGTTTCAAAGCTCTAAAATTTACAAACATACTTGTTAGAATGAGATGATAATTGTGGAAATAGAAAATAGAGAGAGTTGATAGGACTTACCAAAGCAAAAGCCAAAATGAAGAAAAGTGATATTTGTTCATTTTACCAAAGCAAAGCAAGAGCAGTCATCAACAAATATCACTTTTCTTCATTTTGGCTTTTGCTTTGGTAAGTCCCATCAACTCTCTCTATTTTCTATTTCCACAATTATTATCTAATTTTAACAAGTATGTTTGTAAATTTTAGAGCTTTGGAATATGTCTACCTTTGTTTGTAAGCTTTGTGACAAAACTTCAAGTTTTATCAACAAGTCTGATCTGGTTGCACACCAACAGGCTCTTCACAAGAAGCATAAAAGGTGCTCCGATTGCAACATTCATTTTGAGGACAAGTGTGCCTTCTTGGCACACAAGCCATCAAAGGTAATAGCAAAATTGGCACACAAGTCATCAAAGGTAATAGCCAAAAACAAATAAAATTGAATAAATAAAATTTCACTCTTTTTTTCTTTGGTCTTACATAATACAATTAATTTGGTTTTTATTGAATTTAATTAGGGATGCAAGAATGGAAAGTTTGTTTGAGGTGATCTAAGAAGGGATCTTATGGACTACTACATATAAATAAGATCTTATGGACTACTCTTATCTAAGTAAGATCTAGCTATGTATATGCTTGAATTTTATGACTTAATTTGTTGCTTGGATGTTATTTTAAACTTGGTTGGATTTTAATTCCTATGGAATGAATTGTGCTTCAGTGCTAGCTTAATTGTAATAAGTTTGTATGCTTAGGTTGTGGTGTGTTTGTTGGATGTTATATATCATGAGACATAGAGCTTGAATTCATAAAGTGAAGGTTGTGGTTTTCTACGCAATCCTACACCATCGATCGTGGCAGCCCTCTCTCTGTCTCTCTCTCTCACTCTTCTTCTACTTTGTTACATGGAATGGAGGCAGCCCTCTCTCTGTTTCTCTCACTCTTTCTTCCCTAAGCCATGGAATGGAAGAGTCATTATATTTTTCCATAAACTATAGTTAGATAAAGTTTCTATATATATATATACACCTCACCTCCTACTTTGAGCTCCATTGCTTCTCCTTCCATATCTTCTAAGCAATCCTACACCAATTGCTTCTCCTTCTCTCCCTTTTTTTCCAGCTTTCCTTTCTTCTTCTTCTTCTTCGTTATTCACCTCGTACTTGGACTTATCAGAGTCTTCCTCATCATGCTCCATTGCCTCCCTCAGCAATTCGCTTGTTGCATTGCAAGCTTGCATGGTCTTGTTATATTCAGTCTTCCTCTTCTCTGCCTTGCTACAAAGGGAGCCTTTGGATTTACCAATTTTTGGTCTTTAACATGGTCTCGGTTCTTTTAGTAGCAACTCTGGATTTCCCCATTCTAAGGCGACCCATCGGGTAGGAGAATAGAGTATTGCCATATTCATGCCTTTGTCTTTGAGGACTTTCTACTTTGTTACAGGGCCTCTGTCCTCTTGTTTGTTTGTACTACTTACGTCCTCTTGCTTTTGATTATTGTAATCCAATTTCCATATACTTTTCTTTCTATTATTTATGTGTTAGGTTGTGCTTATGCATGTACCAATAGCCAAACTATGGCTAGCTAATTAATTAGAAGCTCGATCGTGGCAGCCCTCTCTCTGTCTCTCTCACTCTTCTACTTTGTTACATGGAATGGAAGCTCGATCGTGGCAGCCCTCTCTCTGTCTCTCTTACTCTTTCTTCCCTAAGCCATGGAATGGACGTCATTATCTTTTTCCATCAAGTATAGTTAGATAAAGTTTATATATATATATATATATATATACCTCCTGCTTTGAGCTCCATTGCCTCCCTCAGCAATTCGCTTGTTGCATTGCAAGCTTGCATGGTCTTGTTATATTCAGTCTTCCTCTTCTCTGCCTTGCTACAAAGGGAGCCTTTGGATTTACCAATTTTTGGTCTTTAACATGGTCTCGGTTCTTTTAGTAGCAACTCTGGATTTCCCCATTCTAAGGCGACCCATCGGGTAGGAGAATAGAGTATTGCCATATTCATGCCTTTGTCTTTGAGGACTTTCTACTTTGTTACAGGGCCAAATGAATCCTTTTTTCTCTGGTTTTTTAGTTTCAGTCTGCTAATTATATCATTCAACATTTTGTGTACCAGGGAACCGTAGCTGATAATGCACCAGTGGTGCCAATTTCTGCTCAGTTGAAGTATAATATTGATGTTGTTTGCGAGTACATCATCAAAAAGATCCCCATTCCAGAAAGGAACTTTATCTCACCTCCCAATATGATTGTTATCCGTTCTTTTGATGTCAATAAACCTGGGTTCGAGGTCGATGAGATAAGAGGTGGAGTCGCTGGTGGAAGCATCCTCAGGGAATGTTTTTATTGTTGAGTTTTGTCAAAAGTGTCGACAGTTCTTAAACTATATCATGTTCCTGTATTTGACTCTTTGTTTTTTCTTTTTTGTTTTAAAACCTGTTTTGCTTGCCCAATACCATTCTACTTTCTTGGTGGAGTTTTGGGTTATGAAATGTGCATAACTGCTCTTGATTTGGACCTAAGAATTTGGTGTTTTTCGAAAGATTTATATTTCATAAATGCTATAGTTCACGAATACCATAATTGACATTGTGTCTTTTGCAGGTTGTCTTGAAAGTGAACCAATATATCGAGGTTTGTCCTGGGATTGTTGTTAATGACGAGAGCGGAAACATAAAATGCACGCCAATATATTCTAGAATAGTTTCATTGTATGCTGAGCAAAATGAGTTGCAATTTGCGGTTCCAAGAGGTCTCATTGGAGTTGGAACGACCATGGATCCTACTTTGACACGTGCTGATAGGCTAGTGGGTCAAGTTCTTGGTGAAGTTGGATCTCTCCCTGAAGTATTTGTTGAGCTTGAGGTAAATGACTGCAGCTGCAAGGCTCTTTATTTCTTAATTTCTTAAAGCTGATGAAACTTCAATAGATGATGTTTCTAAGGAAATTGAGCAAATGTGTGTTTATATGCATCCTCAGTCATGCTCTCCTTATTTTTTTATTTTCTTAGTTTCTGAAAGCTAATGAAACTTAAGTAGATGATGTTTCTAAGCAAATTGAGCAAATGTGTGTTTATATGCATCCTCAATCATGAGCTCATTGACTGTTTTTTGGTTTAGTTTTCAAGATGTGGCACTGTTGTCTTCTTTTGGAATAATATTGGGTTTTTGTATTGTATTTATTCTTTTGAATCCTTTTATGTTTTTGCATTCCAAACTAGACAAATCTTTGTTGATGAAATGGATGTTAACAAATATTTGGTATACTTTCAACTTCATGACCTGCATAAGTCTTTGGTGCTGAAGATAAGTGCTCTATGATTTTGCAGGCGAACTTCTTCCTGTTGAGAAGGCTTCTGGGGTCAGAACAAAGGGGTCGGAGAAGCAAGGAAAGGTCTCAAAGCTGGCCAAGGGTGAGATCCTGATATTGAATATAGGATCCATGTTTACTGGGGCTAAGGTTATTGCTGTAAGGAATGATTTGGCAAAGCTGCAACTCACCTCTCCAGTTTGCACCAGCAGAGGAGAGAAAATTGCGCTCAGTCGGCGAGTTGAGAAGCATTGGCGTCTTGTTGGGTGAGGCACGATTCAAGCTGGAACTACCCCTTGATGTCCCACCCACCCCAATTTGATTAGACTCCACAAATTGGTAAGACGGAAAGCAAGAAAACCACTAAGACAGCTAAAGAGTAGGGAAGATGTGGGAATGCAGGCAATTATTGGGAACCATTTTTGTCATATGGTGGAGAAAAGATTGTTGAGATAATTATGTTTTCTGTTTTGTTTCTTTGACTTTTGATAAAATCATGCTTTCATCTGCATTCTTATTCTTCGAGTGGACCCGACTCATTCCAACAGATGAGGGAATGAAAGATGGTTATGTAACCCTGAAATAGAAAAACATAAATTGAAGGAGAGAGACTTGAAGACTAACCTTCAAATTTGATCCAGAGAGACATGTACTCTTTTTTTTTTTAATGTAAGTTTTGGCAAACTGAAAAATATGAATTCCCGCGCTATGGAAATTGTGAAATGACGCCTATTTTGGTGGAAATTAAACTCGGGAATTTGATGCCTCAATTTTCACGATTTTTTCCGCGCGTCATTTAATAAATTCCGCGCTTAAGTTGCCAAATAAGGGAATTGTCAATTTCTCCTCTTAAATTCCTGACTTTTAGCTAAATTCCGAGTTATTTTCCCGCATCCAAACGGAGGGTTACAGAAAATATTGTGTTCTTAACTCGATTAAGCTTGAGTTGATTTGGACCTTATTAGAAATTAGTGATCGCCAGCATCTTTAGGAGGTGTCTTATGCAGCAATTGTACTCACCTCAAAACCTAGATTGATTCCGTCTTATTAACTTCATGGAGTGCATTTCTATATGCATGATTTGGCATTACCATTTGAGAAACCCACTGCAATCACGGGCGTTAGAAGTTCCATTTTCGTGTCATTTTTGCATCGACTGATTCTTTTTAAAATTGCCTCCAAGGAGTGTCCAAGATAATGTCACTCCTCACAAGACTCCTACTTCATTTTTTGAATGGTCATATTAACTATTGGTTTTATTTCCTTATAGGTACAGATTTAAACTTGATTTTTCTGTTCATTTTTTCTTTTTTCTGTTCAAAGCCCCTACGCATGGAGCAAAGCAATTGGAACTGTCGTTGCGGGTGGAGACCTAGTGGCTAGTGTTGGTGGTCCGTCGTGAGAGAGAGAGGAGGCGACAGCTCAGACAGAGGAGAGAAAGGCAGTGAGGCTTTAAGAAAACCTAGGTTTTCTTTGAAGTCAGTGAATTTTATATTTTTTATTTTAAAAAAAGGCCCAGACTAGGGCCCCACCCTGCCTAACCGCCCAGGCCCGCCTAGGCCGATTTTTGGAACACTTAAAAAAAAAAAGATTTTCTATTTAAACCCCACAAATTTCTTTGTTCCTAGCAAAAAAAACACAAACAAATGGAACCCCAAATCCAAAATTTAATACTTTCTAGAGAAAGAGAACAACTTTACCTCTTTCCAAGTAGAGGAGTTTGTCCTGATCTGATCCAATTTATACTTTACCTCTGTCATGATCCAATTTAAATAGGATGTAGAGGAGTTTGTATTTTTCTAAAACTTAATATAAAGAGTGGTGGGGGTGTGTGTAGATGTACTAAAACTTACAGCTTAATGATTTAAGTATTGGTGTGAACAAAGAGAAGTGCGGGGTTTAAATAGAAAATCTCAAAAAAAATTGAAATTCTAGTTTCGACCAAACAGAAAATATTATCTTGTAATACGACAACTAAAATAAAAACGGGCCGCATAACAAAAGGTTTAAATCAAAACGGGCCACATAACACAAGTTTATACGGTGTACATGTTTTTCTACTTCCTTTTCTTATTTTTTTAATAAACTTGTTAACCCCCAATAACAGGTTTCTTATTATTCTTTGTAGAATTTTCCTGAAAGAAAAAGAATATTTTAAAGTATAGCCACCTGGAGTAAACTAAGAAAACATCTCTCCTGAAGAAGTTTCGTCGGCACTATACTTTAAAATTCACCGAGACATATCTTGGTTTAGGTTCGGTTACATCATACTAACCCAAGATTGAGAGCGAAACCTAAATCGTAATTATTTAAGATAATTAAATATAATTAATTAGTATTTATTAAGTATTTTTTTAAATCAATTAAAATATTTAAATACTAATTCTTCATTAAATAAATAAATGTAATTAAAACACAATACATTCAAAGAGTATAGCCGCAAGGTTATAGTCTTTAAATATTATTTTAAAGGTATAGCCGTCCGGCTAGACTCCATAAATATAACATTTTACAGCGCGGCCACACTCCATAAATATAATATTTTAAGAGTATAGCCGCGCGGCCGTACCCCAAAAAATAATATTTTAAAAGTATTGCCACGCAGCTATACTCCACGGCTATA